ATGAGGACCACGAAGACAACGAGAAATATTTAGCAAGACATCTAGGTCAATATTAATTTCCTGGGTTGAGTTTAATAAAAAATGCACCACCCTGTACTTTACGGATTCCTACCGCTTTTACAATAAAATATAAGTCATTAATTTTCGTATTTATGAAGTGAAGTATTTATTACTTACATTTATTTTTCAACTAAAACAAAATGAATTGTAATCGTATATATTTGCAAAGTGTTGAAATTAAAATTATTAATTAAATTCCAGCTAAACCCCAGCAATATTAATTATTCTGCGCAAAGGCAATCTCCTAATAATAACTTACTTTTACGTGTGCTTCAACTTGACGCAGACACGCTATTTATCAAGGAAATATTTTAAGTAACTACTAATGGTTGTCGCGTCACACCGTATCAGATTATTATTAGGAAGAGGAAGGTATAAAAATTAATCGAGGAAAGTAAAAATTGAAACCGATAAGTGCTAAACCGCATAAAGTTTCCTTGGTATTTTTTAAAGGGCTTAGTTTAATTTGAAATAAGATCTCGAAGCAATTAATATCTTGCTTGCCTGATAAATTTCCATCAAGGGGGCGTTTACTGCAGAAATGATCAATACCATATCAAGTTTTGATTTACCAAAATGTATAAATATATTTTACGCAAAAGATATAATATATATATATATATAAGATAATGTCGTAAAACCGCCCCCAAACCACCCCGGAAACCCAACGATCATGTAAATACATAGAAGCTAATATAGAAGGATGCCTAGTGCCCGTGATCCAGAAATGAAAGAGAGGCGAATCCGAGAAGTTGAAATGGTGCCGCACTAAACCGGACCACGTAGCAGAGTCACCAGCGGATATGCCTCTGTCTGTGAACGAACGTCGACCTGATACATCGGTAGTCCAGTAACCAGCGTTCGGAATGGAAAAATTCGTTGTTTATTTATTTCCAAACAGGTGTAAGCCTACTTACATGGAAATAATACATGAGAATTAAAAACCGTTAACCGTTGACATTGTACAACAGGGTCACTAGACAGTTGGTATATACGTAAAAATTGTAACAATAGAACCAATTAGCAGAAACTACAGCAGAATGAGGAGTTGAATGAATTTTCAATGGAAAATATATGATTAACAGTTCTATTAAATATTTTAATAGAGGAAAATATATGTTCCAATCCATTGCATTTTTAGAGGTAACTAAATTAATCAAACGAAACATGTCCAGCAACAGATTTAGTTTTTTTCAAAAATTATAATATTAAAGTACTCGGAAAGACGCTTCTTTAAAATCCAAAAAACTTGATTGATTTGCCTTTTTTTCGTCAATTATTGCTATTTTGGAACATCGGTAATAAATTTAAATATTTTTAACTTACAGTATACAGGGTGTTCCGAAATTTATGCAACAAAATTTGGTCACAGATTCTTAGGACAAATTTAGGGGACCCGTATTTTTTATTTTTGCCAAGTGGCCTCCTCTTTCGGAGTTACAGCCCCCTGAAGTCCGCCCCTAAGAATAATCTTTTTTTTATATCTCAGAACCCTGTTGTACGAGAATCACCAAATTTGGTACACAGGGGATTTATGACATGTGGAATCTGATGGTGCTATTTTTGGCGGGTAACCTCCTTAAGACAATTTTTTGTGGGCCCCCTTGTCTTTGGAGCCAAAAAAAATTGGTCGCATATTTAAATTTCTTAAAAATTATCAGTCCACTAGAAAGCCATTAAATTTAGAAACTTTTTGTCTCCTTATACTTTTCTAGTAAAACACAATGTTTTCGAGAAAAATGTCAAAATGTGATCGAATGCATATCGTGATTCGCCATTTTCCTCAAAAACATTGCGTTTTACGAAACAAGTATCAAGAGACAAAAAGTTTCTAAATTCAATGGCTTTCTAGCTAACTAATAATTTAAAAAAAAAAACAAACAAATTTGCGACCAATTTTTTCTGGTTCCAAAGACAAGAGGGCCCACGAAAAAGTGTCTTAAGGGGGTTTCTCACCAAAAAGCGTAGCACTGTGAGATTTCACATGTCATAAAACCCCTGTGTACCAAATTTAGTGATTCTCGTACAACATGGTTTTGAGATATAAAAAAGACTTCTTATGGGGCAGATTTCAGGGGGCTATAACTCCGAAAGAGGGGGGCCAGTCGGCAAAAAGGAAAAATACGGAACCCCTAAATTTGTATTAAGAATCTATGACCAAATTTTGTTGCATGAATTTCGGGACACCCTGTATTGTGCAAAATTCAATTCTAAAACGTTTTTCCTCTTCAATATCCCTCCAAAATGGATAGGTTCCAAGATATAAGTAAAAAAAAAACTCAGATAAAATAGGTTTTTTGCAATTTTGAAATTGTTCCGGACCTCGCTCAAATCTAGGGATCTACACTTTTATTATGTGAGTTGTACTGAAGGTAATCCAGAAAAAATTTTGCTTGCCCCTCTCACATCCACCCCAAAACAGATCCGCCCTGGTCTATAAGTAATATAACGACAATAAATAGGGGTCAGGATACATAAAAGTTTAAAATTTGTATCCAAACAACAAAATGGCGATAATGTGTCTATTTTCTAATATTTTTTTTTTATGTTAAATTCTATAATCAGAACTCCTGTTATACTTTTTAAAATACAAGAATCTTAAGAACCGTTTTATTTAAGATGCTTAGCATTGCTTTTAACGAAACCGATACTTTTATTAGCATGAGATATAAAGTAATGCAAGGAATTGTTAATTTGCTATCAAAACAATTTCTGTAACAACAGTATATTCGTAAACAATAGGTCTGATTTTCCTCGAATCCCATTAATAAAGATATTGAAAAATAGCGGGCCAAGAACTGAACCCTGAGGTACTCCAGAAGTAGCAACAATTTCAGTTCATGTAAAACCTCGATAATGAACTTTCAATGATTCGTTCGCAAGGAAAAAACAGTTAGCTTTAAACAAAGTTCGTATTTGAGTCTTTTTATGTGCTTTTAAAATAAAGGTCAGAAGTATACACACATATATCCATAGATGGTTAATACAACGGTTTATAACACAAAGCATATTCACATTAATTTGTTTGATGTTTTTGGCACAGGTATGAAAGGAAAACAATTAAATCCCTTTCTTTTTAAAACAATTCTATCGCCCATGTTATCATCTAAATAAAACTCTGTCGCTGTCCATATAAAAAATTACAATTTTTATACGCTTATATATATACGAAGGGCAACTTTGATTTTTTATTTTATTTCGTTTATTCTTTTGCATTATATTTTTTTTCAAAACTGTGCAGTAATCGAGTAATTTTCATTTTACATTTTTATTTAATTAGACAAAGTCTTTCGACGACAAATTTAAACATTCTGGGCACAAAGAAAAAAAATCACAGCGTTTTGAAATTATCAGGGCATCTTTAGGACACTTTGAGGTTGAAAAGTTACAGTCACTATCCACCAAAATCATGCAATTTTTTACTTTTTTTCTAACCAACATTTTCACTTCGAAAATTTTTTGTATCAAAAACCAATAATTACGACTTGTAGAGAATACTTTTCACTTTTCAAAACCATTTTTGGATTTTCTGTATGCCATTATTTCCCGAGTAATTGATTGCCAAAGTCAAAAATGATTTTTTTGCTTTGATCGATGATACCGCTCAAATTGAAGAGAATTAAATGATCTAAAAGAGCTTTATGGTGAAATTACCAAAAAAAATTTGTTCTTTAAATTTTATTTAAAAGGTTTCTTCATCAAATATTCACTTGTAGATTTTCCTGATGAAGAAACAAATAATGTTTTTTTCAATAACTACATCCCCGTCCGGCTAAAAATATCTTTCTGATATATATAATTAATTTTGTTCTATTTAAATCAAGCCTGGTAGCTCTAATATCTGGCGCATTACGTGTGGCATATCGAAAAGACGAGCCACAGATAAAAATTGTACGCGGGCGTAATATACTAGAACAAAGCCGGACACTTCTGCGACATAGTAATCTCATGTGGTATTTTACCGAAGTTAAAATCAATATGGCGCTTGCTCTGCTTTGCTACCGTGTGTAGTCACGCTACCTGGAGTGCAAGTTTGCTTCAGGACGAAAAGACTTTCTGCTCACCTCAGTGACGTGCAGACCTGTGTACAGTTCGCGCGTTCGCATTGCCTCGCCATCGATCGTATCACTTCGTACGGTATCGTGTCCTGAAAAATGTGTCTGGATCTTATCCTCTTGCATATCTGAATTTAATCAGACGCATACTCCCTACGCTATTGTTCATGTTTACAATCCCTCTATACATGTATAATATCTGATTACTCTGCAGGCGTGATTTACACAATTTTACTCGAATTTAAAGAAACCATCCTCCACGCTTGTCCTACGGACATCGTCTTCCTCCGCGTATTCCTCGCAGTACTACCAATAAACAGTAATATCCAGATCTGTCCTCAGGAATCACCTGTGATAACTTCAAAATATGCGAAAACTTACGGCTTTGTATTATTTATTGTTCTTCTTCCTTTCCAACAGACACATGACCGAACTGAGTATCGCATGCTATGTTTTCCCCAACGGTAAGTTTGGTTATGGGGAAGGAAAACATCAATTGCAAGCGTTCCAGGAATTAAAGCGAAATAAAATTTAAAAATTCACTACACTTTTGAACCAAAAATTTACCACAGTTTCCAAATAAAAATTTATCACACTTTCAAATTAAAAATTCATTACACCTTAAATTGACTACACTTTCGAAAATCATTATACCTTTGAAGCAAACAATAATTATTATACTATAGTATTAAAAATTCACTATACTTTCTATACAAAAATTAACTACGCATTGAATTTATGACACTCTCTTAAAACTCGATTACATTTTCATACCAACTGTGACGTTACGTGTTACTGTCTCTCGAATTTGGCAAAACATATCGTATCTAACGTCTTGATTCCTGCAATTACTACAACCATCTACTTTTTCCTTTTTTTTTTCAGAGCAAAGCGATCCCTGTCGCGACAAGCAGTGTGGATTTGGAGCCCGCTGCGTGGTAAGTTCCGATGGTCGCAATTCAAGCTGCGTCTGTCCAGAAAAATGTCCCAGCTATGGGGACCATACCACATCGCGTCCTGTTTGTGGATCTGACGGTGTGGACTACAAGAACCAGTGCGAACTCCAACGAGCGGCCTGTTTGTCGAATTCGAACATCACAATTAAGTTCTCCGGAAAATGCGGTAAGTGTAAAATTTCCAACATTGCAAATGGCGTCGACTATTTTTTTCCATACTAGGATCATTACCTCTTAACCAAAGGATCATCTTATGTGAGTTGTGTTCCATCGATTTTAACAACGCTCACAGCTTCAAACTTGATACACAAAGCTGGCGTCTCTTGGAAAAGGGAAATTATTAACTGAGGAAGTCAAACTTTTAGTTTAAATTACACTGAATGCTTGATGATGTAACTTGACGACACGTCTTCCTGGTTTATATCAGAATTATTTCCTGCTAAATACATAATTTGTTAGGTAGGCGTTTATCGAGAGTGTATAGGAACTTCTGTGGATTTCCGCGACAACTAGAACAATCAGGCCGTTGTCTTAAAAAATTTTACAATCGGAAATAGGAAGCAAAATAAATTGCGCGTAACGCCCAGTCAAGCAGATACTTGAAGCGATCAGAAAGTTTTTTTGTAAGGATCTGAAATGATTTTAAATTTTTTCAACTTTTCCATTCAAACTTTGCCAGTCTAAAATATCCGCGTCAGTGAACCAGTGGCAATCGGTTTAAGATTAAACGTTGTACGGTGTCCTGAACACTTAAATAATTCAATTAATAACAACTATCTTCTCTTACGCCCCTACAGCCCTTAACAGCGATTTCACTTGACTTTCCATTTTAAAACAAATTTGTTCCAGTGTTTAAACATAATTTTTATAATCCATACGTAAAATACGACTGTACTCGAGCATAATCTTTTTTACACTAATGCGTAATGTAAATATTTTACACACTAGTGCGTAGTGATTAATCTAGTTGATTTATTACGCAGTTTTATTCAAATAAACAACTTTAAAACAACGCCATTGATACAACGAGAAATTAATAACTGCCTTACTATTTTATTTCATTTTAGACAGTATGGCGTAAATTGCAGTCCTTTACGCACTAGTGCGTAATGTAAGTTTTATGTGGCAAAGTGAAACGCAGTAATTTTATTATGATGGGAACTGTTGTCCTATACGTCTGTTCATTTTGTGGTGTTTAAATTTGGGACCTGAATAAACACCACAAAAACAATAAAATAGGAATGTGTAGTCGTGCACGTTTGAATACTCCTGTACACATCAAATACCCATAAAAGAGACAATTGCTATTTATACAAGCAATTCATTTGTATGGTAATGCAATTTGAGCGTTCCCAAATAACAGTGTTAGGAAACAGCAAAAAAAACGTTCAGGGGTATAAGATTTCGACATTTCATAATATTTTAATTTTATAACAATGACGTTAAGTCAGTAAGACAAAAAATGCTGGTTATTGGGGTTTATTTAATAAAAAACAGTTGGTTTTCATTTGTTTTGCTTACTGTAGACCTATAAATTGGGATACCCTGTATACACAACATATTATTTGCCAACTTCACAATTTTAAAACAACATAATATTTTATATAACCACTTTATTTATTTAAATACATCTGATTTTCATTTTCACCAATTCATTCATCCCATTAATACACATAGCATAAATTGAAAAGTGATTATGAAATTATACAGGGTGTTTAAAAAAATCAGTCTTATTATTTTATATTTTGTCGAAATTTCACATCAGAGCTAGTTAGTTATTATACTGAAGTCAGCATAACGTTTAGCCTACCCGTCAAATTTGACATTTACAGTACAATAACTGCGGTATTTATCATTTAAATCTTTTAATCTTTATGAATGAAAATATGTCTTATATTATTCCATCTAGAAAAAAATAGTAATGATTTATAATGTCTCCTCACTAGTGTGTAAAATATGAACATTACGCACTAGCGCGTAATGTACGGCGTGCGTAAAGTAAATATTTTACGCAAGGTATATTCATTATTCCCAGCAAGTAACAACAATCAACATAATATTTTAAAATAAAATAGTAAGTACTATTTAAATCAAACACCTTTAATAAATTTAATTTTGTTAAATTATTACTGAATAACTGTCAGTTTGACACTTGGAAAGAGCGTGACGTCGATATAATTCAACACCCATATTGTCATATTGCAAGAGAAATTCATTTTTCGCACTAGTGTAGTAGTGTAGTAAAATATGTACATTACGCACTAACGCGTACTGTACAGTGCGCGTAAAGTAAATACTTTACGCAAGTGTATTTATTGCTAAAACAAAATGGAGCGGCACCGAAACACGTCATTCGATCGAAATTAAACATTTCCCGCTGGGAAATTTTACATCCTCCGGCCGAGAGGCCATAAAATTACTGCCCCCGTGTACCTTTACGCGCTGCGGTTTGGAAATATGGAGGCGGGCAAACACCGCAAAAAGAAAATAATGGTGTACTTGTTTCAGATCCCTGTGCAGGAGTACAGTGTGCGGAGCCAGAGGTGTGTCAGCTGGATGAGCACCGTAATCCTGTTTGTCGATGTGGAGACACTTGCCCCTTGGAGTTCACCCCGGTTTGCGGGTCCGACGGCAAAACGTATTCCAACGAATGTACTTTACGACAAGAAGCCTGCCGAGCTAGAAAAACTCTGAATATCATCTACCGTGGAAAATGCAGCTCAGGTCCTTACTTTTCTTTCACTGCGCTTGGCGTTTTACTTGCGGGTGCTAAAAGCGTCTACTCCATTCTGAGTAAAATCTATACGTGATTATACAGGGCGCCCAACAAAGTAAACAAACTTTAAGGAAAATTTTATTATACAGGGTGTATCTTTGAATGGGGTCATATTTACACGGAGGCTACTTTGATATTATGAAATTCACCTAAACTAGGTCAATCTTAGAGGTAACTGACACTGAAATTCGGAAACTAAACACAGTGCTTTCAAAAATAGTGACAAATGCTTTACGGAAGCAGCCCAGTAACGGCGTAGACGAGAGTTTAAGTTAAAAACGAGTTATAACTCAACTATTTATTGGATTTAAAAAAATAATATCAGTACTACTTTTTGTAAAAAATTAACGACCACTTAAAGTTGTACCCCGTATTATAACGGTTTCTTCAACTCACATTTTGGCCAAAATTAATAATGGTTTTTTAATTAAACTATTTTGAAGCATTTCATTTATTCTTCACTGATTTCAGCACATACAGGGTGTAAGAAGTTTGACTGTCATTACTTCAGCATGAGATAAAGTAATCATAAATAAACAGTTTAACAGTTTTCAAAATACAGCGAGTATTAATATCAGGGAGTTTCATCATAACGTGACAACAGCGCTTAACCTAACGCTACACAGCTGATGCATACCACGTGTGCACACGGCAGGCTTGTCCTACGGAAAAAATGTAAACAACTATTATTGTGAAACATTTAGTAAATTTCAAGATAATAATTACTGTTTTCCAGTTTTTAAATAAATACCAGCAAAATAGCAAATAGCAAAATTCAGTAATTTTTAAACGCACAAGTACAAAACAACTAGAACACATGCTCAAAATGTCCACGACCATTTTCGATGAACGCACGACACCTTCGAATCCAATTTTCGCGCACTCGCTTGAAAACACCTCAAGAAAAGGAAATAGTTGTACGCAAAAACACTCAGACACGGTCCAATTCCAGATACCAACTGAATTTCGTAATGCTGGACAGTTTAGTACCGCCGCGCCGTTGTCACATCGCTCGGTATGAATTTTATCAAATTTTAAATTTATTACAACGCTAATTATTCTTAGAATTTAGCATAAAGAAGTTCAAAAAAGGGATATGTCAATGTTCCTTAATTTTTCCTCGGAAATGTTTGAGTTTAGGACCCATGTCATATAAAGTTTTTTTGTTTATTTTAATGTATTCTATCGTCTGTTAAAATTAAGGCAGTCAAACTTTTAACACCCTATATATTTCCGAAAAAAGGAATATGTGTGATAAAATGGCACTATTTTCTTAAAAACCTGTCGATGTTAACCCCAACCACCCTGTATGTGTAAAATATTACACAGTTTTAACGGACCTTTGAATATTTAAAGCCACGAATGCCAGTGAATAACTGGCATATTCAATGAAACCCAATTAATATATTTAGAATCGCCCGCCCTATCAGAGTTATAAATTATAAATCGCTCTGTTTGTATTGAACTGCGAGCATAATGTTAAATAGTAACTATCATTTAATTTCCAATTCAGCAAGATCGAATGTCCGATTAGTTTGTTGAACAATTTTATAGATTATGACCTCTAATAATGAGTATGATTTACTGCAATATTGTTTTGGAATCTACAGGAGCAGGACAGATAGCGCATATCGATAACGTTAAAAACTTAGCGCTGTTTCGAGTGGAAAAAAATTTTCATTAATTAATTAATTAATTAATTAAAATTTTTTCAGTTCTAGGAGTGACATTTCCTTTACTACACTAATTTTAAATTTTAGTCAACAAAAATGTGTTTCTAGAACCATTTTTTGACAAGTTGTCTTAAAAGCTCGTAGAAATAATACTTATTCTTAGAGAAAAATGCAGCATATTTCTCTATCATAAAATGTTTTTCATATAAAACCATATCCCTAACAGACGACTTATTGCCTTGATATTTCCAGCACTAATATTTGCACCATATTGCTAGAAAGATTTTCCCCTCATACATAAAAGTTGTTTCATGTAAAGTTTCCCGAATAATTTTCAAATAAACAAGTTATTTTTTATTTTACTACAAGCCGTCGCTCATAGGACTTGCTGTTGATGTGACTAAAGTAAAATAATTTTCAGTTGCTTGCTATACAGGGTGATTGGTTTAATCCTCAAATCCGGTCTCTCATTTGCATTAATTTTATATAAAAAAAGTTTTACTCACATGAATATATTTCTAAGAGTAAAATAAATAAATAATGCAAAATCTATTCAAAAAACACAAAAATAAATTTTTGGAACATAATTTAATGTAAATATACAAGGCCGGTATTCTATACATACAGGGTCGGAAAGTCCCCATGGTTCATCGGCCGTTACGTGAGAGCGATAAAGTAAGTCATAGAAATCCGTGCGATAGAGAAGGATAGCTATAATGAAGGCGTCTCATAGTCACCGCCCATTTCGCCCTTCCACAAATAAGATCCACTTCCACTTGTAATTCAGCGACCGGTGGTCATCTTTGTTTTCGTCGTTTGGCTTTTTTTTAATAGATATCACTACTTATACAATTTCGACTTCGGTATTCCTCCGATATGTTAATAACAGCCGTTAACAGAGGGCAGTACAACGCGTAACAAAGAAAAATTTTTTCAGTAGCTAGTAGATACCTCTGTTTGTAAATCTAGTGACCTTGTTTCCCCTACTGAGAAGTTATTCAAATGGAGTATAGTGCTCAGCTGCATTTAAAGTTCATTTAGTTGTTATTTAAGTATACTTTTTAAAACGACTTAAATATCCCAAGAAATAAAGCAAAATTCCCTATTTCCCCAATTCCAAAAAAATCTGTAGATCTGGCACCACACCTTAGACAAAATGTGCTGCCCTCTGTTAACGGATTGTATTAACATATCGGAATACGAAGTCGGAATTGTATAAGTAGTGACATCTATTACAGAAAAGGCAAACGACGAAAACAAAGGTGACCACCGGTCGCTGAATTACAAGTGGAAGTGGATCTTATTTGTGGAAGGGCAAAACGGGCGGTGACTATGAGACGCCTTCATTATAGCTATCCTTCTCTATCGCACGGATTTCTATGACTTACTCTATCGCTCTCACGTAACGGCCGATGAACCATGGGGACTTTCCGGACCTGTATATAGTATATTTTGACCTCATCTATTTGTACTTGACTTTTGTATCAAGTACCGGGACAGCCTGTATATTGTTTCCAAAAATGCTTGCGAAAAGCACCGAAATTTAAAAGATTTCAATTTCAAAACTTTTTTAAGAAATTCTGAAAAAAATCACTTCACTTTCGAAACATTAAAAAAGAACAGAAAAAATATCTGATGTTTTTAAAGGTGCCTATTTTCAACTAGTATTGAGGTTATTCAGGTTAAATTTTCTCAAAAAAATATAAACAGTAATATTTGTGATACTTGAACATTTTCTATTATATGAAGATGTTTTTAAAAGTACTTTGAAGCAACACTAAGACCATTCTAATGTACCTCTAAAACTTTCCGAAACATCAAAAAAAATCGCTTCACTTTCGAAACTCATTAAAGGTGTATAAATTCTTTACAACAATTTAAACTTTTAAAAAATCACTTCACTTTCGATTTTTTTTAATAAGTCAGAAAAAAGTGTTTAGTTTTTGATGTGAAGAAGCTGATGCTTTTGAAAACATTTTCAATAAGCACTGAAGTTGCTCATGCAAAATTTTACGGAAAAAATAATAAGTAAAATGTATTGAATGGTCGCTGAAGCCGTTCAAGTTCACCTGTCAAATTTTCCGAAACATCAACCCCCCCTTACCCGCCCTAACCTATTTTGCAGGCATAAACCCGTGCACGAGCGTGCGGTGCACCCTGGGCGAAGAATGCGCCATAAATAAATTCGGAATAGCTCATTGTCAATGCCCGCCGGCCTGCCAGCCTATCATGAGGCCGGTTTGCTCCAAAGACGGTCGCACTTTCCCATCTGACTGCGAGATGAAAAGGGCCGGTTGTCTAGCCCGCACGACAACTGAAATTGCCTATACGGGAGTATGCGGCGAGAAAGGACCTTGCAGCGAGCACGAGTGCCAATACGGCGCTACCTGTGTTGAAAGATCCGGCACGGCCCACTGCGAATGCCCCATCTGCCCGGCGGAATTCGAGCCTGTGTGCGGGTCCGACGGAATCTCCTACGGGAACGAGTGCAAACTCAGGCTGGAAGCGTGCAAGCACAGGAGGGACATCACCGTACTCTACAATGGGCCTTGCAGTAAGTTAATATGCGATAATAAAAATAAATTCATTGCCCAACAGATTCCCAAAATTACAGGCATTCCAATGAGAAATTATTAAATATACAACAACAAATAGATATGTCGATTTTGGTTGAAACAAGATTATCCTTACAGATCTTGGAACATTCTGATATCCAACTTTATTATTTATAATACAGTACAAAGGGTGTTAATGAACTTATGTCAAAAATTTAAAAAACTGAGCTAACTGGTGTCACAAACTTGTATCGCAAGTTTAAGGTCATAGAGAAACAGCTAATTAAAAATGTGTTTAAAACTGTTTTGGAACTGCTGAAATACATGTATTTTATCGTGGCGAGTACTTACGAAAAATTCTCTTTATTCTCTTTTTACGAGTTTGTAGGTTTCTTATGAAGCCGGACTGTATTCCAAAGTCAATTTGTAATACATTGTTGTAGTGATTGCTGTGATGTTTTTCAAGAGTACATTTAATAGCCATATTTCCAAGTTTTCTTTTGAAAATGGCGCATTTACTTAGCAATCGCGAATATTATGATATGTAATTAATTTATGGCGAAGCAAACGAACATGCCCACAGAGCTTGTCCAGTGTACCGTGCAACATATCCTGCACGACGTGCCCCCGCATCNATTATCATTATTATTATCATTATTATTATTATTATTATTATTATTATTATTATTCCTTCTTATTATGGAATGTAGACAGTCTTCTTGCTGACTGGCTCCTGCGAAAAGTTTTTTTTGCGTAGTGTACCATTATCGCAACAAAATCAGTAAAAGATGAGATGGACAACCGAAAAGACACTAAAAATGTTTTTTATTATAAGCATTAGTAAAATCGCTATCACTGTCACTGTTACTAACGCTATCACTACCACTTCACTAACGATATCAGTGCTGCCTCTTAAAAATATAAGAGGTTCTTTTCTAACTTATACCGATGCAGGTGGTTATTCGATTTAGTAGTAGTAGTTTTACACCTATTTAAATTTCGCGCCACATAAATTTTTATATTCGCCCAGATTAGTTCAGTAGGGTTCAGATCAGTGGTATGGTGGCCGCCGTAGTGTAACATCTCGAGCTTTCGTCGTTTCACTCACTACATACATAGTTATTTGTTTTTTTTTTGTGCAGCTTCCAATAATTCTATCTTTAACATCGTGGTATTATATTCAATGTACTTCCCATTCAACTTTTCCATGATTTCTCCATTCTCCATTCGTAAACTATGGTAAGGCGCATTATCCATAACAATCGATGCACCAGGTTTGATGTTGGCTAACAGGACGAAGGAATCCAAAACTGTTCACTGCAGTTCCATGGGGTTCTTGGATTTGTAAGATTACGAGGTTATAGGGTTCCTTTACTCGAGTATTGGTTTCAAGGTTAGTTAACCATAAATATTGTGATCATTTGAACTCCTTCGTACTGTTTACTCCGTTCCCTGCTTCATACAGCTGTGAGGTTACTAAGCTCATGAGGTTATGGTGGTTTCTGATAAAGGGTACTGAGTTCCCCATTCCAAGGTTCTGGAACCCATCAAGTGGTTTTATTATTTATAATCCAATGGTCTGGGATTGATAACTTGGAGGCCGTATGTCATTCATTTGTCCATGTTTCCACTCTAACAAAGTTAGAAGTAGAGCTTCTAACAATAGAGCATCCTAAACGCTCTTGCGCATGCTTAACATATTATAGGAACACTATGAAATATGAAGGAAACATTACAATTTCCATGCAGATAATACGCAAAATTATTTTACCATATTAAGACGCAGTAAAAGTTTTAGTTTGATTTATTTATAACTTACTGTCTACTGTTTTGGAAGTGCTTGTAATGTTATGTCCTTATTAAGAGATTCCAAAGTGGCAACATTAGAAACAACCCGTCACTGATATTGTTTTATAATTCGCAAAATACCAAAAAAAACACTCACCTGATACTAGAACATTTGTTATTTTTCGATCAAACCTTACACCGAAAGCGTAGAGCGGAAAAAATGCCACGTAATAAAATTATTATTGAATTATTAGCTTCTCCAGTCACGCTATTTGATCTTTTAGGCGATATTTAACAGAATACGGTAATTTTATTAAATTCTCACGGCCCCCATTTCGAATTCTTCCGACAGTCTCGAGCAACGAAATAATAAAAAACCGAAGGACCATTTCTGGCTTTTTATAAATAAAAAATAGTCACACAGAAAAAGTAGCCAATTACTTTTGCTCAAGAGGATTTAGAATTTGCTCACCTGAATAATTATGTAAATTTTTACTTCCACTTGTATGGTGGAAGGGGCGGCATATTAATGTTACATCTAGAAGAAATATAATATATTTACAGGTTACTAAAAATAAGGAAAAAAAAACAGTAATTCGTATTGATTACATTTAAATTTGAAGCGGATTCGGTAGAAAAATGTGTTTAACCCTTCTGTTTCGCTTGCGAGAATCCGCCCGCTTGTCGTATTACGGTAATTATTTTTTAATCAATCCGTATTTCGATAGAGTCGAAGTTTTCGCAAGATGGCTGAAAATGAAAAAAGTTTTAAATAAGAGGGGAGCGAGAGATTTTAGGGACAGATGGCCAGTGTCGCCGTTAGATTGTTTGGAAGGGTTCCCTCGTTCGATCTTCGATTACAGTGTTGGATATTTTGATTTAAACTTGACGTATTCAAAAAACTTTAGTTAAATAGAAAACTAAAATTAATATTTTTAATACGTATTCACTTTTTAATACTTCCGAATTTTAAATATAAAAATATGCTTCTTCTGGATTTTAACTTTCGCTAAAAAAAATACAGGCGTTCTGACTGACAAATAAGTAACTTCCTTAATCAATATTAGTTAAAAATAAACAAATGAATTAAAAATTCCATAACAAAAAAATAATTTAGTACCTAATTGTACGAGATGCCATGTTAATTTTTCATTTTTATTCACGAATATTCCCCATGCCGAAACATCAAACAAACCCTCCCAAACAAGAATCTCACTTCTCTAGTTAACGCGTGAGACATAATACTATTCCTAGCCTGATGTTTAATCAGTACATCATCATATCAATTACAATATGTAGATTATATCCAAGGGAGCCTAACTGGCTTACAGCAATACAAACTCTGCGTAATAGCAGGTAATGATATTGCAATTCCTCTGGTACTTCTTGAATCCCTTGAACCATTAATCCAGGTGCTAGGGGAACTCGATAAGTAATATCTGCTGAGCGTCGATTGCACACTTCATTAACTAATGTGAGCGCAATACGAAATACAATTACTCTAAGATTATTGTTCACACAAGCAAGGTAAGACGTCGGTAATAAAAATACACTGACACGCGTATTTTTTCTCCTACTGTGCGTAAATTACTCGTTTTTGCGGTTGTGCGTAAAGTACAAGTGCGTAAAAAGACTGTTTTGAATTCAGAGACTTGTAAGTAATATCCTCCTCATCATCGATTGCATTAACTAATGCAAACGCAATATGTCATATAGTTACTCAAATCAAATATCAAAATACATTGGCAAATATATTTTCTCTGCTACTAGGCGTAAAGTACGCATTTGTGCGTAAAGTACAAATGCGTAAAATAGACCGTATCAACATGGTTTTATAAAAAATAGATCTGCTGTTTCAAATTTATTATGTATGACGCAATATATTTGAAAACATATATATTCTAGTACTTAAGTGGACTTTATACCGGGTGTCCCAAAAAGACACGAAATATCAGTCTCCAGAAGTCCTATCGTCAAATTTTAACCTAACAATGTATTAAATTTTAAAATTGTCTGTTAAATTATATTACTTTTATAGCCATTTTTTGTAAAAAATTAGTTTGATTCTTAAATGACATATTGGAAACATTTTTTGAAACAAAACAAAATTGGAGCTGAATAACGGATACAGCTGCCATAAAAGTAGTTTATTCCATGTTGATACTACGTTAACCTTACTTTGACATTGATGAAGGTGAAATACAAGGTCATTTGTCCTTTAAAATCCTAAATTTTCTAATATTATGCTCGGACATCAAATTTGGCGGTCTATCGTTTGTTGGCATGACATATAAGGTGTTCTATTTAATTTTTTCAAATTGACCTTGATTTGACCTTGAAATTACGGTCAAGATCAAGGTCACCAGCATATCCTATAACTATTATATGAATTTTTTGACGTAATTTTGCAAAATTATCAGGAAATTCGAGTCTTTTTAGAACATCTTGTACATATGGACATTTATAAGGCCAAGTTAAGGGTAATATGTGGTGGAATAATAAAATATGTTGAATGTCGATATATGTAACATCTGGAGTGCCTCAGGGTTCTGTCTTGGGACCGCTTCTTTTTATGTTGTTTATAAATGATATTATTGAAAATTTAGACGTATGTTGTATGCATTCTACATTAAACTTTACTGTAACGTTGATTCGAAATGGGATCGATACTATAAAATAATTCACTAAAAAACAAATATCAATACTTCTTTTTATTAACATTTAAATACTTAACGCCATATTAAAACGTTAAAGAAATTGGAATTGTTTTTGATAATAAATAATGAGCACGTAAAAGGTGTGATACAAACTTGGGTTATAATATAAGACAGTCTGTCGGTTTTAAATAACAAAAATGTTTTAATGTTGCTCTTCTATGCTCTCATTAAATCAAAACTTGAATATGCGTCTTTTATCTGGGGACCTTGGAATGCAACACACATTGTAGCTTGAAATCGGAAATTAAAAAGAAGAATAAAATTGTTCAGAACATGGATAAGATATAGTTTCACGTTTTAATAACTGTATTTTATAATAACATTTGCTTGTATCTTGAAATTTACTCAAATTCTCTCTTAGCTGTATACAGGGTGTCCCGGTACTTGAAAAAAAAGAGTACGAACAGATGAGACCAAAATAATATCATATAATTTTTTTTCATACGGGCCTTCGTTAACAAGTTACGGGCCCACAAAGATGAAAATTACAAAGTTATTTTTATTTACAGTCTCTAAACTATTAACTTCAGCATGATGCAAATTTGGTGATCGATAGCACATGCTTACAGCTTGTTTTTGATGCTGTAAGTGAATCTTCATTATGCCCAGAACGCCAGAGACGGACTATACCCAATGGTTAACAACCCAAAATTTTTGCACAGATGACGATCGCAATCTCCCTGCATCCTGAAGAATTTGCCAGCGATAATACCCTCTCTCGGTAAAATTAACAGTTTAGGAAATATTTGAGATTTTATGTCACACATCGAGGGCGCCTCCATCATTTTTGTTTTTAATTTTTAATTGGACATAATTACTATGTTAGAACTGTACATATTTTTAAAATAAGAGCCTAGAAAATCTTACTGCCTGCTAATGTAATTTTCACTAACACACTTTACACATACATAAATAGAAAAAAAACAAGAAGTTAAAGTAAGTTAAAAAATTTATTTAAAAGAAAGAAAACTATCGAAATACATTTTCAATATGAGCACCTTCCACGCACTTCCTAAGTCTATGAATGTTATTTGTTTGTACACGAAAAAGCATTTTTGGGGTATGTCTAATATTATCACAGTGGAAATTAATTCTTAAGCTATTAATCCCTTGTCTGTACTGGGGTTGCGTACACTAAACTACACTAAAAGTCTGGAGAACGAGATGGTAAGATTTTCTAGGCTTTTATTTTAAAAATATGTACGGTTCTAGCATAGTAATTATTTCCAATTAAAAATTTCAAAAAATGGTGGAGGCGCCACTCGACGTAAAACCACAAATATTTCCTAAACTATTAATTTTACCGAGTTGAACCAGAGGGTATTATCATTGGCAAATTTTTCAGGAAATTTATTTTTGATACAGGCAGATTGCGATTGTCATCCATATAAAACTTCTGGGTTGTTAACCATTGGGCATAGTCCGTCCCTGGCGTTCTGGGCATAATGAAGTTTCACTTACAACATCAAAAACAAGCTGTTGTACGCATGTGTTATCGATCACCAAATTTGCAACATGCTGAAATTAATAGTTTCGCGATTGTAAATAAAAATAACTTTTAAACTTTCACCTTTGAGGGCCCGTAACTTGTTAACGAAGGCCCGTATGAAAAAAAATTATATGAAGAACTGATATTATTTTGACCTCATCTATTTGTACACGATTTTTTTGTATCAAGTACCGGGACACCCTGTATAGAATCCCGAATAATATTGATGAAATGTGCAGCGACATCTACACAAATAAACAAATCAATTATAATTAGTGACAACATACTCAAGTATTATTTTTTCATGAAAGATATAAGCGTGTACGCGCCCCAGACTACGAAATACAAAAAGTGTCTAGGCACGATGTCCTTTGTGTTTTGCAGATGGCTGCGAGAACAAAAAGTGCGACTTCTACTCCATCTGCGAGAGTGACGGCGCGACAGAGGGGCGTTGCGTCTGCCCCCAGTCCTGCACGGACCCCAAGGTAAGTGCATGCACCAGCAAAAATCATCCCCGTTAAGCCCAGGTTGGCTCCCGTCCTCCGTGGTTCGGGCATTCGGCCGTTCAGGTCGCGACATTAAATAAAAAAAGCATTTCCCTCGGAATGGCCTATATGCATTTGAATCACGTACGGATTTATTGAAACCCCGTATTTATATTCCGCTTCGGTACACGTATTAGTGTTGGTTAGTGCAAGATAGTCAAACGCATTTGTTCCCTCAGCTCACCAATGGTACAGTCTGCGGCACGGATGGAGTGACTTACGCGAACGAATGCGAACTGAGGGCCGGCTCCTGCAAAACGAAACAATATATCCTTTTAGCCTACAAAGGGAACTGCGGTAAGACCTTTTCTACTAATGCCTAAATGGTTGTAGTGAATATATACACCGATAAGATTTTAAAGGTATTAAGTTAATCTATATTACCGCCCCAAAATGCTCCTCTCGCATCAGTGGAATCAATTTGCGCTATGAATTCACGTGGAATTACACCTACGCCTAAATTATAACTAAAATTAATTAAGCTGGGGTGGGTCTGAATGTATGTGAAAACCGCAAGAAGTTCAATAATCGTTAGTTGGATGTGAATGTCTCCACCTCCTTTCAACGAAACATTTAGTATTCATTTTTTTTAAAACATGAAGAAAATTATAAAAAGTATTTTAGGTATCGGTGCACCCCTAAAAAGACGCAGGGATGAAAAATATATAATATTAAAATATAACTTTCAGTGAGTAACCTCGAACAAGACACATTAAAAAAGCTCCAGAACAATCCGAGAAAACATAAACTGAAAATGTCGACTTTTGGTTATTTTTCGACCTTAAATCGCTCGTAGCTCGAAAACAAAGCTTTTTTCGAAAAAATCACATGAGTTAAAAAGTGCTTATTTTTGTCGAAAATACATAACCAATGTTTTCATATCGATTTTTTAAGTTATCGCAATTTTGCAAGTTTTTTGTTAATAACAAATTACTGACCATCGATACAGAAAAATGTCATTAAGGTATTTTGTTCGCAACAACGTAATATAGCGATTAGAAAAGATTTCATCCTGGCCCCCCTCTGTGGTCGGTCCACTCGTTTTTTTGTGCGTCAGTAGATAAGATAGGCGGGTTCTGGAGCTGAAGTGACGTCACATGGCCAGCGTCCATCGAGCTGCATGAAGTGTCATAGCGGCATGGAAGTGACGTTACATGGCGTCGAATGATGCAATACCAGATAAAAATGACGCAATGCTGGTCATTGATCTCCCCTTGTCGTGATTGATTTTTTTTTAAATTTACCGCCAACTGGTCATGTGACATCACTTCCATGGCGCCATGACACTTCTTGCAGCTTGATGGACGCTGGACATGTGACGTCACTTCCGCTCCAGAACCCGCCTATTTTATCTACTTGCGTCTTTTTAGGGGTGCACCGCTCGCCTATTTCCCCTTCGGTTGCAAAGAGTGTAAATGCAAGGGTGGTTACCCTTGCAAGTAATATCCAGCACAATTTTTAATGTATGATCAATATGATCACTTACCTAATACTTATTTTAAATTTAAATTGGATCGAGGCCGACCTGTTTTATCACCCGACTTATATCCATTAGACTTTTCTGTGTGGATTCATCCAAATAACTCGTTTACTCAACACAAGAGAGTAACACAGGATTGAGGAAGTGTGTAGACCTCTTTTTGAACACCTGCCGAACTGATATTTACCCTTTTCTCGTTTTCCATTTCATAAATGTTTATTTTACATCTTTTGCTAGTTTCTCTTAAGCTATGGTCAACGATCAAAGATATGTGTAAGAATATATAGTTGTAGACGCCGATCGTTTCAAAATTCGGTACATCTCGATACTCATTTATTTTATCGAAATAAATGAAGAGTACCTTCCTCAAAGAACAGAGAGTAGTTTTCTCAGAGAAGGTACAAAAAAACCTGGGGGGTGACTTTTTCCTGGAAAAATAGTGGGGTAGTTCATACATCGTTTTCCTCTTTAATGTTGCTTTTCCGTGATACAGGGTGTTTTTTTTTAATTATTTTTAAATCGATTAGAGGGGAAAGGTAAATATGCCAAAATGCACCACACGAACACGAAATATCAACTGTTTCATGGAGCGTGCAAACCATTTCATTCCCAACAGCGGTGGCGTGGATACGATTAGTTTGAGGGATATAACTGAAGAACCTAATTACTGTATACAGGGTGCGTCATAATACTCAAGATATCTCGAAAATGCAACCTTAATGAAGAAAGGTTATATGAGATACTCTCATTATATTTTTCAAGAGTTCTTCACTCACCCACCCCAAAACGGGACGGGACACCTTGTGTTTTTGGATACTTTGTAATAGTAAAAAACTGGTTGTAAGAAGTATGACTGCCATAACTTTAGCATGAGATAGAATAACCATAAATGAACAAAATTTGTATATTACAAGATTAACAATTTTCAAAGTAGAGCGAGTATTAATTTTGGCGAGTTTCATCACAACGTGACAATAGTGCTGATGCACATCACGTGTGCACGCGGCATACTTGTCCTACGGAAAAAATGTAAACTACTGTTTCAAGACACTCCGACACGGTCCAATTCCAGATACCAACACCAACTGAATGCGTATTACTGGACAGCTTAGTACCTCGTGTTAATCGCCGCGCCGTTGTCGCATTGCTCGATATGAATTTTAGCAAATTTTAGATTTATTACAACGCTAATTATTTTTTAGAATTAAGCATAAAGATGTTCAAAAAAGTGATAAACATTGTATTTTAAGGTATTATATGCATGCAGTTATGTCAATATTCCTTAATTAATCGAACTTTTGTACATCAAGTGATAATTTTTTTCTCGGAAATGGTTAGGTTTAGGACCCAAGTCATATAAAGTTTTTTTTGTTTATTTTAATGTATTATATCCTCTGTTAAAATTAAGGCAGTCAATCTTCTAACATCCTGTATAATACACTAGGTACACCAAAATTTCATCGAAATGGTTATAAAGTTAGAACCCAAAACGTAAATCCCTAGGTACCCCTTTGAGGCCCAATACCTCCATTGGGAGGAACATTGATTAAATGTTAGTGTTATTTTGATCTCCTCTACACCGCGAGGTTACTTGGTAGACCCTGTACTTCCCGTTCTATTTCCTGTGACTAGCAGCATCGCAGCACTGCCTCAGTAGCTCGTCACTTACGACTGGGGTAAACAAAAGAGCTAACACCAATCAGCTCGTTAGGATTAGATTTCTATTTTTGCGAAAGGAGATGTTATTGGGAATATAGATGCGAAGAAACGGTGAATTTTACATAAGCGTATTGACAGGGCAAACAATTTTAGATTTATGTCAAGGAGTCGAGTGCAAATATGGAGCCCGTTGCGAGGCGGGCGAGTGTGTATGCCCCACGAACTGCGAGGGATCCGGGGACGAGCCAGTGTGTGCATCAAACATGATGACATATCCAAACGAGTGTGAGTTACAGAAAGCGATGTGTTTACAACCCAGGAGTTCACCCCCTTTGAGTGTCGTGTTCTACGGGGACTGTCGGGAGAGGTTTCCGGCGGCTGGATCTTTCAGCAGTAAGTTCCAACTTGTCATGTTCCCCTCCTCCCTTTGCTGAGCGACCGACTAATGAATCTCATTAACAACCGGAGCTATGCGAACTTTAAAATGACGCAAGACAATGCTGCCTTGTATTTATATCAAAGGTGCAAATATCAGGGCTCGCGACACGCCGCGATCCACGGGTGTTAAGACCGGTTTACACTCCGGCGACAAGCGACAGCGGATCACAGCCAAATTACGTCAGATGGATATATTTAAGACGCAGAAAAGTCGACGTAATTAAAGCTAGAATGTAATTAATTTCTCATATTTAATATCAAAAATAATATTGGTGCACGAGAATAAGTTGTAGAACTACTTAAAATAGAGTAATTATTCTTTTATCATGATTTTTTAAAATCTTTTTTCTTGTTCTCTTTCAAAAAATTTAAAATTTTTTATTAAATCAATACAGCTCTTCAGTTCGTTTTAAATTAACCAAATTTCTCTCAGGAAATGCTGATGAGTCAGAAAAAAAGAAACTATTTTAAACAAGTTTTTTAGAAAAAAAGTGACAGTTGAAAAAGTTTTCGAGTAGATTTCATTTTTTTAATAACGTCAAAGTAATTTTTTGATTAAACATTGCCTCAAACCATAAGACCATTTACTTTTAGTGTTCTTTTTTGCAATTTGATTTGAGCTAAACTATTAAAGTCTGAACAATTGATTTCTTCTGGGATATAAGAAAAAGCCAATTATCATTATCGAATTGAAAGAATTTCATTAAGTAAACTACTCGGTCAAATTTTAACTTTTTACAGCTCTTTTTTCTGAATTAACTGATTTTTTAAATATTTCATGTTAATACTTCGCATGTGGTTGTTTTATTTTCAACTTTTTTTAATTGTTTCTTGAAAAAGATCCGAAAAGTATCAACGTTGTGCCAAAAAAACCCAGATCCCCCACCCCAAAATTTTTCAGAATTAAGTCCTACCAAAAAAATTCAAATAAAAGTTGTCGGATGTCATTAAATCAATACTGTGGTGCCCTTGGATTTGACACTAAATTCCAATACCAAACCAAGGTTACTTGAAGGACATTTTTCCGATATGTCCTTGCTGGTAATTTGGAGGTCGAACTAATTTTCTCTCAACATCTCGACAAGATTGAATTGTGGCGGAAAATGTTTCTAGCAAAATATGTAGGATTTTGAATGTCAAATTAGATGATGACCTTGGATTTTATCTAGGGCATCCCGGAAAAATTCTTTGATCTCAGATCCTGACAAATTTTTGAAGCTATATTGGTTCTGACATAAAAAATAGTATTCCATTTGATAAGTTGACCTTAGTTTGACCTTGAACTTGTGATAAAGGTCAAATGCAAGGTCACCATCTACTCCACAATTCGATCTTGTAGTGTTGATAAAAGAAAAATGAGTTTGACTTGTCCGGACTTAAAATTTGTCATTTTATCAATTGCCGACTTATAAAATGGTGTTCCATTTAATATTTTCAAGTTAACCTTGGTTTGACCTTGAAGCTTTAGAATTTAGATCAAGATCAAATCCAAGGTCACCAGCATATTAGTTTATTGATATTCTTTTATCTGTTTTTTTTAGATAGGACTTAATCCTAATAAGTTATCGGGGGTTCGTACATTTTTTTGAGCACCATGTATACAGGGTGAGTCAGAAAGAATGGGTCAACAATAAGCTGGAGATACTAGACACCAAAATATTATGTTTGAGCTCATCATGCCTTATTATATTAAGAAATACAGGGTGTCCAAGGTTTAAATTTTATTTTGAAATTTCTCAATAATTGAGAAAGTTTTAATAGCATGACTCTGAAAATTGGTAGTATTGGTTTTTTTGGTGTGAAAATTACGAATTTGAAGCTTATTTTGACGTTGCTCCTAGAGGGCGCTAGTTTCGGCGTATTAGTTAGGTAAATCAAAACATTTTTTTTCTGTTGAGCTATGCTTAAAAATCTAAAAGAACGTTCAATTCTACATAAAAAATGTACTCTTATTTAGGTCGCCTAACTTTATCGGTTTCTAAGTTATTTGCATTTAAAAGTTTCAATGCATGCTCAAACATAATATTTTGGTGTCTATTATCTCCAGCTTAGTGTTGACCCATTCTTTCTGACACACCCTGTATAAAAAAAATTCAATTTTACAATACAAGAACTATTTTACAGTAGATTCTTCGGAAATTTAAAAATATTTCGCAGTTTAGATCAATTATAAGTAGACGTTCGATTTATGGCTCTCAGTGAAAGTCATCTAGTATCTAACTACATGTCCATGTAATTCTTTACATGTACTTTGAACCAACTATATTCTGTTTAATGGGCGATATGCCTATAAGTCCGATTGGAAAATAATTTTTCCCACTTAATTGGATATAAACAGGAAATAGGTAATACGAGATTTTAAAATTAAATAACATATAAAATTTATATAAAATAATTTCAATAATAATTGTAGATACTAATGGGGTATCCTTTATTTCATTTTATTTTTATTTAAATTTTTAACGGTCAGTTATCGTCCCTTGATACCTAATGGTGCAATATCCTAAAATAAAGGATCGTCCTTTGAAAACAATGATGGTGGGTAACCTCATTCGTACATCAACTTGGAGTTTTAATAATATTTCCCTCGAAAACAATTGGGCTTAGGACCCATGTCATACACATTTTGTAGTATTGCTCCCGTGTAAACCAGCCTTAAGGCCCGGAATCGACGAAACGCCGGAACCTCCGTAAATCTAATCCCCAGTAACAAATTAGCGTAGTAACATATTAATCCTTCAGCCACTCTTACTCCCATTACGGCCCAAACTAACAACATGGCAACGGGATCGGACGTAGAACCCGCCTCACCTGACAACATCATCCCCGACGGTGGCAACACGGAAAAGGAGGCCTGCAGGGACATCCACTGCGACTTCGAGGCAACCTGCGAGCTAGGACCGGACCATTTCCCGCGCTGCACCTGCCAATTCGACTGTGCTAGCGCCGCTTTGTCTGCCAAGCCGGTGTGCGCGTCGAACCTGCAAACTTACAGCTCGCTGTGCGCCATGAAGATGGATGCCTGTCAAAGGCAGGAAGAGTTGCGGTTGAGGCCACTTGATCTTTGCCAAGGTTTGATTAACTTAACATCACTAATTTTATTAATATCTAAGAGCGGGTGACGTACTTTCACGGCTTCTAACCCTCTGATTGTGCATTAATTTTAAATTGGGCGGTTTACCCGTCCGTAAAAGACTCTTGTGCGCTGAAATTTCATCATTTTAACCGATATCGTGCACCCCTTTTCTTTGCGTTCCTTTACAGCCCGCTCAAATTTGATTTTCTCTGGAGGAAATGTATCCCATCCGCAAAGTTAACTGGCAAAATTAGTAAAGTACACGTCGACAGGAATAAGTTTGCGGGTGAGAGAAACAGGACTATATTAAAGCATCTTTAGTCGCGTGTTTTTACAGCCTTTGGCCATTGCCATAATTATTTAGGCTGCTTCCAAATGCCTTTTAAGGCGATATCATCCCGATGTCTAGTACGCATATCTGGGCGGGTCCAACTCAGCCGCAAACTTATTCCTGATAGATAACTATATGAGTTCATAAAATTCGATTGTTGCACCTTGTATATAACACAAAGCTTTAGAGAAAATTAAATTTTGAGGCTACAGTGCCAAAAGCGCCGCTGACAATCATTTTAAAACAGGGATGGAAGTAAAGCCGTGCAAGGGAGAGAAGCCCTTAACGGATCCCGCAACAGGAAGAGAACTGGATTGCGGCAACGGCCCCTTCCGACAAGACTGTCCTTCCGGCAGCTACTGCCACCAAACGTCAAACTTCTCGCGGTGTTGCCGAAAAGGTTGTCCTTCTAAACCTTCATTAATAAAGCGCTAATCAAAGTTCTTGCAGACCAAAACTTCATCGAAAAGAAAAGCTGCGAGGACAGTTGGTACGGTTGTTGCCCCGACGGGAAAAATGTGGCGCAAGGACCGAATTTCAGCGGGTGCCCCTCACTGTGTGGCTGTAACAAACTCGGGTCCTACTCTGAGGTCTGCGATCCTGAAACCAAGCAGTGCAGATGTCGCCCAGGTGTTGGAGGAGAAAAGTGCGATCGTTGTGAGCCGGGGTATTGGGGGTTGCCTAAAATATCTTCGGGATATCGTGGTTGTATACGTAAGATTGTTTTTTTTATTTAATAGTAGTAACGAATCTAAACGCTTCTGTTTTCGAGAAAATTACTTAAGAAAATTAACCGTAAATGTAAGCCGACCATGTGCATCTTGTGCACGTGCACGGCCAGAAGCAGAATTTGGAATATAGGTATCCAGTGGCGTCGAAATTCCAGTGTTTTTAGTGACAGTAATTCCTTGTATCTCCGCCACTGGTACACATATTTATATTCGAATTCAGTGGATTTTTAGAGAAATTTTTGAAAATATTTTTTTTTTTATTTCTTCTCGAAAACTATCGATTTGCGGACCCATGTTAATATAACCGCTTTGACTTAAAATCACTCAAAGAATCGCTTGCTTAATTAACACCCTGTATTGTGAACCTGAAAAAAACACTCAACAATAGAAATATATACTACAGATATAATTTTTAGTCAGTTAAGGTACAACATTTAAAAAAAATTAACTGTGCTCTTGGTTTAGCTTGCGGGTGTTCCACGTTCGGATCGGTCCGAGACGACTGCGAGCAGATGACCGGCCGCTGCGTGTGCAAACCCGGAGTCCAGGGCCAGAAGTGTACGGTGTGCACCAGTCACAATAAAATTTTGGGTCCCAATGGCTGTATGTCAGGTAGGTGACGGGAATTAATATATTTACGCTTATTTTACATAATGGAATCTTCTGCAGCGGATCTCACGACGTCGCCTCCAACGACGTGCAAGGAATTGACGTGTTACTTCGGGGCGGCGTGCATCGAACGAGGGGGCTTCGCAATGTGCGAATGTCACGCGAAATGCCCTGAAGACGGTGAAGTTCAAGTATGTTTTAGTAAAACATGTCAGCCAGTTGGAAATGTCGGGTTTCGTTTGATAACCTTCCGCCGTTATATCTCTCGAACCGGATAAGATTTCCGAATATTAACGGCTTTGTTTTATACAGTGCGGGCAAAGCGACAGGTCATAGATATACGGAATCTGGCAAAAAATTGGCCAAAATTTATGTGACAAAATTAAAGAATTTTTCTTAAATTCGACAAAAAATTTATTACTTATGTGCCAAAATTTGTCTGGTTTACGTAGTTGAAATGTATTTCCTTAATTCATAAAAGAAATGGACTAAGATTTATTAAGTATAATTTTTCACGAATGTGACAAAAGATTGCAGAAAATATCTCAAATGTGCATAAAGTGAATCAATATATACATATATATGCTAAAATTTATTCAATACTTATCAAATCCTTAGCATGTGACAAAAATAATAATTTTTAACAAATTTGTCAAAATATTTACAAATATGCGCCAGAAATTTAATTCCTAATTCCATAAAATGGCTAAAATCTATCAATTACGCAAAAATCTAACAAATGTTTCTAAAAGTTTGCCGAAAATACCACAAATGTGAATAAATTTAACTAATTTCATTAAAAAATTTACAATTATATATGCATATTATTATATATATTTAGAATATATTCTGAAGTTTTTTTTACCAAAATTAGATTTCCCTCGGAGCAATTAAAATATTTAAAAAAAATTATCCAAAGAACTTGATTATTTTGCCTTTTTTTCATCAATTATTGCTATTTTGCAACATCGGTAATGAATTTTAAGATTTTTGACTCCCAGCATTATTGAGCAAAATTCAATTCTAAGACTTTTTTTCCTCTTCAATATTCTTCCAAAATGCATAGATTCCAAGATATAAGTAAAAAACAGATAAAATAGGTATTTTTAAAATTTTTTAAACATTTTTGCAATTCTGAAAATGTTCCGGACCTCGCCCAGATCTAGGGATCTACACTTTTATTATGTGAGTTGTACTGACGGTATTTCAGCAAAAATTAGCTTTCCCCCTTACATCCAAGAAGTGGGATATTTCGACAGATGCGCCCTGGTCTAATAGAATACTGTCAAATCACCAGTACAGTGTAGTCGTTCATAAGATATTAACACTTGGATAAATAAGTTAAACCTATAAGTATAGTTAATTTGATAGTATGAGATCAGGTAGCTTACCTGGATGATTACAGTTTTCTGCAAGGGAACAATATTAAAGTAACCAATACCACTGTTTCATCGCTTACCGTTCAAATTATCAGACCGATTTATACAAGTGATAATATCCGATGAACGGTCAATTTGTGATTTATGCGTCATCATTGCGAAGAGTTCCAGGAAACAGTATACATCTGCTATCTTTTTTTAGTTTCTGCACATAATAATTGATTCACTTTTTATTTCACACTTTAGATTTGGAGAACTTCTTCCACGACATACATTTCGACCACAATTACATTATACAATTTAACATGTGTCAACTTTGTAAATGGCCAGTATTTTTAACATAAAATGTATATAATTGAGGACTGTGATTGTTTAATATACTTAATTATAATTTTGATAATTCTTTTAACAACAGATACTTGCGATTACATGAACAATTTGACATGTGGTGTTAAATTTATAACAGCAGCATGTTCAGAACTTTTAAAAGAAAAAAGCTGTTCAAAAAAAAATTGTTCTATTTTACATTATATTTATTTATTTTCAGTATAACGTTTACACATGAAATAGTACCTACCATTTTGTATCAAATTAGAACTGGGTACCTTTAAATCTTGTGGAGTTTGCTAAGCGATATTTTAGAGATTAATCGTATTTTGATAACAAATTTTACCTTATCTAATTAGTTTTCAGATTCAGTATGGCTCCAAAAAGCATGACTCATATTATCCAAGAAAACAAACTATGTACATCTATGTTTTTACAAACGCGATTTTTTCGCACTTGCTTGTGTTTTTAGTAAGAAATTTTAAGCTGGTCATTTAGAACATGTTCAACTCTCCTTTTGAAAACAATATAGAGAAATAATTTGGGAGTTAGCTAGTAAGAAATTCTAAGCTGGTCATTTAGAACATGTTCAATTCTCCTTTTGCCAACAATATAGAGAAATAATTTGGGAGTTAGCTTACCTTTTCGTACAACTTTCTTGTATTTTCCACTCCGCTTCTTCCATGCTGTCTGAAATCTCTGTGGCCGCGGTAGTTCGAAATTGTATGTCACTACACAACTTTTTAACACAAAACATTTGTCTACACTGTCATAGTTCACTATCACAGAAATCACACCGAAATATATCCAATACACGTCACAATTAAACAAAATTTACTTTATTTTGGAACTTATACACACGCGAGTTACAAACAATACACATTCCCACTATATGTTTATTTAATGTGTCAGCAGCGTTGCCAACCTCAGATTGGTAACGTATACCAACTGCTGTAAAGAAAAATACCAGAAAATCGCAATTTGGGGATTGAACTCAAATTGGAAAGAGCTTTAAACTATCTTAATTATGAAAATGCTCTAAAGATGAGAAAATATATTAACAAAAAAAAATGATAAAATATAGAACTTCTCGCTATTGTTTCAATTCAAACGAAATTAAGTAATAGTTGATACCGACATTTAAAGTTATCTGTATTTTTAACGTAAAATGTACATAATTAACCTGAACTTCGGAACTGAAGCGGTGAATATAAAACAAAGACCGTAATTTTTTATTCAGAACATATAACGGCGGCAAGCCCTCAGACAGACGAACCAAATCACGACTTAACTTTCCCCAACAATATTTTCGCAGGTCGTCTGTGGCAGCGACGGGCAGACTTACAACTCCCCCTGTGAATTACGACAACTAGCTTGTCGCCTGCAAAAGGACATCGTGGTGCAGGCCTTCGGAACGTGCAAAGGTAAGCGCATAAACCTCCCAGATGGACTTGCAAATGTAAACGAGAGATATTTTATAGACGACATGTTCCCGAGTACAGATTGGCCGGTACGTCGTTACACACCCCTCCAGTTTACACAGCCGGACGATTCGAACTCGCCTCTTTCGAAATCCACGAGGCACTTGTTGGTACCGGACCCCAGGTACTACTACGACAGGAGGGAAAACATACATCCCGTTTCATATCCCGCTTCTGATAATAAGGATTCCGATTTCAACGAGTCTGGGCTTGGATCTAATGTCATTTACCACACTCGCGGTGAGACTGAGAATTAAGTAACTAGCTAGTATCTCATGTAACAAGTTAGATTAAGACCGCACTGTTAGATTGTGGCAAAAAATAAAAAATGAGTTGAGTGTGGAGTTTTGTCCTTACCTGATCGAGATGAGTCGACTAATATATTTTTTTTAATTGACTAATATATTTAATTTTAACTGATGGAAAAAATAATATAATAATTTTAGAGTCCCTAGTATTTTTTTTTAATTCAATATGTTTAAATGTGTTTAAGTTTTAAAATTTATATTTTTTAAAATTATGTACCTACTGAAAAAAGCTTAAGAAAAAATCTTTTCTTCTGAAATAATGAAATAGGTATTGATCTAATTTCAATAATGTCTCAATAAGTTTCGTATTCATTTTCGTGATAACGGAAAGATTGTTTTATTGAAATGGTGATATCATTCTCGTCGAAACTGGAACGTCGTATATGAAATTTTATAACTTTCGGAATCAGTAGATTCCCAGTTTAAAAATTCCCTACACTTCCCAAAAAAATTAGACATTTTTTTTTAGTTGTCTCAGAAAAAAAGCCATGAAAATATGAAATTTATATAATTTTTTGTCTTAATTACTTCATAAGTCACTAAATTTTTAAAAAACATGTTTACAAAAATTAAAAACTTTCCCAGTTAACGGAAGTAAGTATTAGCCTTTATCGGATGTGGCATGATGAATCAAAATTATCTTTCCGCAATGGATTAAACACACACAGTAAGGTACGTATTTTTCTTTTTCAAAAACAAATTTTAATAAGTGGTAACCTATTAAACTTTCTTGGAAAATAGTCTAGATCTTCTATTAAAACAACTTCATTTAATATTATACAGGGTGTAGCTTAAAGTGGGTTCAGTTTTTTGGATGCAAGAATACGTACTGTCGAGGTGTCTCAAACTCGATAGTATAGGCCTACAGCGAGGATACAAATAATTTAAATAAAATTTGGGACACGTGATGTTAAATCGGATCGAAAGTATTTGGGATTTGACAGAAACGACTAATGACGTCCATCAATTATATTTTTTCCAGAAACATACCCAAATTTTTTTCCTGTTAAAAAGCAACAATGCATGATGTAACTCTTCAATGGATATGCACTTGCGGCCCCCATTCAAAGTTACTCCCTGTATAGGGTGTTATTACCGGGTGTCCCATTTTAATTGATACACTTAAATATCTCGTCAGAGAAGCCACCAACCGAAAAATGCCCTAAAGTAAAAGTTGTTCAGTTCACTGATGCTTACCTAAGATTTGACCTTGACCTCACCTTGAACGTCAATTGAAGGTCAACTTGGGAATTTTAAGTGGAACTTTGGAAATGGATGAAGCAGAAAATGTTACATCCGGATGTGTGAAAACAAAGTGAACCTTCAAATTCAATCCCGAACATCTTTCGCAACATTTGTAGAAGTGAAGGTCAATTTTTATAGTCGACCTTCAAATGACCTTGACAAAGTGGAGGTCAAGGATGAATCGAAAGTCGTGACTGAGCACCTTGATGTAAATCCCCTCGATTCTGGAGGTCAACATCTTATTCCGAGGATGCTTCAAGGGTGACGAATCATTTGAACTCGTTGTGACCTTGACTTTGACCTCAAGGTCAAAGTTGTGGTCACATCCGGATGTAAAATTTTCTGCTGAATCCATTTCCGAGGTTAAAAACAGGGGTCCCATTTAAAATTCCGAAGTTGACCTTCAATTGACCTTCAAGGTGAGGTCAAGGTCAAATCCTAGGTAAGCAGCTTCCCCCAGTGAACTGAATAACCTTTACTGTGGCAATTTTTCTATTGGTGGCTTCTCTGACGAGATATTTACGTGTATCAATTAAAATGGGACACCCGGTATAAACGTATTAAAAACGTTCAAATAAATTGTCTTAGTATATAAACACAGCAAAATATTTAGTCAACAAAAAAGTACTGTTTATAAATTAACTCCAAATGTTCGAATAAAATTTCAGCTAAATATTATGAAACACTTGAATTTAGGTGCATTTATTAAAATTCGGTACATAAAAAACTATGACGTCGTTAGTATGTCATATATGACGCCTTATTTCGACAAGAGTGACCACACCTCAATATTAATTATAATATTTCCGTTTCTTGAAGTTAGATGTACGCTTTGGAAAAGTTTTTACAAATTTTGAACATGCTGTTAATAAAATTAAAGTACATATTAATCTAAATCTGAATTCTTCCCAAAATTACCAATTATAGGAATGGGAATAAAGATTTATGTAAAATGACACAGAAAAATAAACGGGAGAACCGCCCTGATAATATATCCACCCTGTGGGATTTTTCTCCCTATCTCAGCAGGCTAAATTGGTGAATAAATTTGATAAATATTTATAGCCTTATTATAGAATTAATTACTTATACAGGAATTCCGACAAAATATGCAAAAAGTACAAAGAAATTTTTCACAAAACGTTAATGATATCTTGAATACCAAATTAGCAATATACTGATGGAATATGTCAATAATAACAAGTATGCAGTGATTTATATGTTCAATTACAGGGACAGAAGTTTGCAAAACATTTGAATACTCAGTCAAATATACACAAATTACAAAATACGAAAAATAGTAAAAATAAATGGATATAAAATGTAATAAAATAATTCATAAAAATACACAGGGTGTATCCATATATCCATCAATTTCAAAGCGTATCCATAAACTTCTACAGTCCTATCAAATGAAAATATCAAAACTATTTCTTTTACTTTTTCGGGCACTGAAGCTGTAAAAGTTTATTGAAATAAAAAACCAAGGTCGTAATGTTTGAAAAAAACTGTTCATATCGCCGTACCTTTACCATTGTATCTATCTATTTAGGTGGTGATTTCGCCCCAGCGTATCGGCCTACCCCAGCGACAGTGCGTGTAGTCACGGCTTTACTAGGCGATCTATGTTCCGATAACACAGATTGCATGATACTGTATAGCCATTGTGTTAAGGGCGCTTGCACGTGCTTACCGGATTATTCGGAATCGTCCGATCGTCAAGAATGCATAGGTAAGTATGAAAGTGAACGTACAGTATATTGATTTGCTTCCGAATCCCTGAAATGTCGCAGGCCGATTTTTTTTTGTCGATAATGGAAATCTTAATAAAAGAAAATGTAAAATAGTGCAGTATAAAATTCAAAAGTGCAGTGAAAAATTCGGAAGTGTAGTAAAAAATTCAAAAGTGCAGTAAAAACTTCACAATTTTTTATTTCGAATATTAATTTAATAAAAATGCGTAATTTCCATGTCTGCTTAACTGTTTTATTAACGTCTGAGAGTGTTTTTAAAAGGTTAAGGACCATACAGTTAGTGGCAAAAAATACAGGATTTATTGCAAAAAAATTCGTCTCGACACGTAGCAATAGAGTGACATAAAAAAATCGCCTTGCACGCTTCAATCAATTTGAACCAGAGTTGCTTTTAACTTATTACAATTCTTACAATGGTAGTGAAAATAAAAACTTATTCTTTGTTATTTTTTACCTGAGCGTGAAATTTCATTACAACGAGCGACATTTTTAACCAAACAGTTACTTTTTTTATGACAAATTTTGACAATACAATAAAATATTTATTTTTTATATATATTAAACGTCGTTGCGTTTCTTGGTATTTCATGTTAGATTATGAATTCCTTTAATTCGACTTTCAAATTGTATACAGAGTGTACCAAAAAACATAGCCACTAGATAAAAGCCAACACAATTTTTTAAAGTAGATCCAATATTACTACCACCTTGTTCTTTTGGTTTAATTTTTATTTTCTCTGCTATTGTTTATTGCTACATTGTACTGTAAAATAAGTTGCTAATTATTATACCTAGTATGTTACGTGCTTTCAAATGGCTTAAAATTAAAAAATATGTTTATACACCTCTCCCCAGTAATAGTAAAATTAATAGATATTATTCCAAGCCTCAAATATGTGGATTTAATTTAGAAACGCCCCGTATATTAAACATCCAGGAGCTCTGACTCTGTTCCAGCGTAATGTATTTTCAGGTGTATTTGTACAATTTTTTTGTACGTGAGAACATAGCGAACAAACAAAGCGAATATAGATTTACATAATCAATAAATACAAATATAACGCATACATCTCACTAATATTTTGAAATGCGATCCGCCAGTCAATGAATTTAATCGAAACATACTTCAGGCCCCAACTTTGGGTACAAAAGATAGGAAAAGTATGTTGTACAAGTCTGATATACAGAATAGTAGAAAAATTATGATTTTTCGACCAAATAAAACTATCCAACCCACGAACGTTCCAGTACCCTTAAGTTTAATCTAAATTAAAAACGCCGAAGTTAAAGCTATCATTGTTTTAGTGATATTTAACTTAAACGCCGATACCGCCCGGCAAGGCGGTATTAATTTTAAATTAAAAAAACTTTTATACCCGAAGCTAACGGAAAGGGAAATAATTTTAACAGGACTTCGGGGTTACACCCTCCTTGTTATTATTCTAGTCTCAGGATGCGACATGTAGAAAAACAAAGACGGCATGCATAGAGGAGTATGAAAATAAGCAAATTAGTAAATTAGTTATTGATTATACGTAGCTGCCGCATACTGTGTGCAGAGTGTGGGAGTTTGAAGCCATATCGGGTGGTTATAATCAATTCTTTTGTGTTTGTTGGAATATTTAAGCGTAGTTTCGTGTTTTCTAATCGTGTTTTGTGGAGTTCAATTTTTCAATTTCAGACAACGATTTTAAATCTAACACTTCCTTAGCTACTTCCGGTGCACCTCCAGGATCCAACTTTAGGCCACTTCTCTTTATTTTGTTTATTAATAACACAGCCACACAAAAAAAAAGTTGTCTACATTCAATGCGATATATATTATCTGTAGTATTTTTGCCCCCTGATCACGAATCCGGTGTCAGAATTGAGCTATCACATCACAGGAATTTCCTAACCTCAAAAAACAGGTCAAAATTAGCAAAAATTCACGAAAAAGTGCTAGGAAAAATACAATTTTTTTTTCTATATTCAAATGTTCATTTATATGGTTAAGACCTCGCCGAACGTGAATCCGCGGTCAGAATTGCTGGTTCTTTTTTCTGACCTCAAAAAAACGGGTCAATTAAGGTAAGGAATTTTCAAAAATTATTAGATTCGCGCCAAATTTGGTTTTCGGGGTCGCTGATCACGGATCCGATGTCAATTTTGCAAAATTCAAAATGGCGGATCCAAGATGGCCAACCAAATTTTCAAGAAATGACACATTCGCGCCAAATTTGGTATAAGGGGATTTTCGGGATCGCTGATCACGAATTCGAGGTCAATTTTGCAAAATTCAAGATGGCGGCCGACCAAAATTTAAAAAAATAACAAATTCGCGCCAAATTTGGTATACGGGGGTTTTCGGGGTCACTGATCACGGAACCGATATCAGATTTACAAAATTCGTTTTTAAAAATTTTATCAATTACTTATGTACTTTATTACCTGAGATTAAGCAGAAAACCCGTGAATAAATCTTTTACAGAAAAAAGAACAAGATATATCCGAAAAAAAGAAGGTTAAAACATGATTGGGTACTCAGGTTGAATTTTGCAAAAGTGACCTCGGATCCGTGATCAGCGACCCCAAAAGTCCCCGTATATGGCGCGAATGTTTTATTTTTTTGAAAATTTGGTCAGCGATTTTGAATCCGCCATCTTGAATTTTGCAAATTTGACCTCGGATCCGTGATCATTGACCCCAAAAACCCCCGTATACCAAATTTGGCGCGAATCTGTTATTTTTTGAAAATTCGTGATATCTGATCTTAATTGACGGGTTTTTTTGAGGTTAAAAAAGGAACCATCAATACTGACCACGGATTCACGTTCGCCGGGGTCTCAACCATATAAATGAACATTCAAAAATTTTTTTTTTCCTAGCACTTTTGCGTGAATTTTAGCTATTTTTTACCTGTTATTTGAGGTTAGGAAATTCCTGTGATGTGATAGCCCAATTCTGACACTGGATTCATGATCAGAAGGCAAAAATACTACGGATAACATAAGTCGCATGAAAAGTACAGACAACTTTTTTTTCTGTGGCTGTGTAATCTGTCTTCTCGTTGTTGTTGATAGAAAACCAATTATAAGGTACCATATTGAAAGCTTTTTCCGTAATGATGTTTCAACAAGTCTCATTATTTTATTTTCTGTTGTTATTTACCCCTTACATCCTTGACTTCTTATTTTTTACAATTTTTATGAGAAAAAATGTGTTTTTTCAGAATTTCCATGAAATAAATATTATTTCAGTTAGATCAAAGACAGCTTTCACTTGGATCAAATCGAAAGTATAGCGAAATATAAAGCTGAGTAGGGCGAATATTCAAAATTAATAAAGTCATCCACAGCTGAGGAACACTAATTCGTTGTTACCGTTGCTGTAATTGCGGCGCTAAAATTCATTACTGTCACTTAATTCCATTGTTTTAAGTTCTGCAGAAGAACAAATAGCTGCAGTAAAAACCGTGCCGATAGAAGCATCCGCGAAACAAAAATTGTCTTATTTACGACTCAGGTCTAAAACAAGGCAACACTGAGAATATGGCTAGGCTACAGCATAAATTCTGTTTATTATAAGTTATAGCAATATTAAATTAAATATATTGGCGCAGGGTTAGGGTAACACGAAATAATGAAAGATGGAAATGGCGCAACACAGTCAGCCCTAAAATGATGTGTGGGGGACGATACATCCCTCATACGTCCTTTTTGATGATACTTTGTACCCCTGGAACAAACGGAACTTTCCCACTCTGGGTTGACAATAGTTCCTAATAATTACTCCACTTTCATATTTCACTTTCTATTATTACGATCGTGTCAGGTTTGTCAAAAAGTGAAAGGGCGAACAGAGGAAATTTTCCTACCTCAGATGAACAAATCTACTCATAATTGCTTCAATTCCTTTACAAACATTTCGTACATGCAAATAAATTAATGAAATGAATGTTTTATTGTGCAAAAAAATCGAATTTATTAAACATTTACATTATAGGAAGTTACAATGTCTAGTTTTACAAAATTTTCAAATTGCAGTCTACATTTACATTTAAAATTGTGAAACAAATGAAAATTTCCCACTTGAGACGAATTTAAGTAGTAAAAATTGTTGCAAACGGATTTTTCAAATTTTAATTTACACCTACAGTTAAAACAGTGAAACAAAAGAAAATTTTACATTTAGAGTGAATAATTTTTGTGAAACAAACTAAACCTTGTGCTAACAATTCAAATTTGCTAATAATTTTCGTTAGAAAATTAAAATAGTGCAACAAATAAAAATTTCCCACTTTGTACAATGGACAAAAATTTGAAATAAAACTTTCCCACATTGAGCGTAAAATTCAAATTTATTAAAACATTTCCATAATATAAGTAATAGTTCTACAATATTTTCAAATTATAATTTACACATACAAATAAAATTTCCGATCCGAACCTTTCCCATCTGAATCAAATATTCAAATTAATTTCATTCCATTAAATGTTAGGTCTGCTATTTTGTAGTTGAAACAGTGAAACAGACTGTAATTTATTAATAATTTCCATTATTACAAATGTAGTCCAAGTCCAGGTCCAGTTTTTCAAATTTTTCAAATTACAATTTAAATCTACAATTAAAATAGTGAAACATATGCTAACTTTAGGGTTAAAGTAAAAATTGTGAAACAAACGAAATCTTCCCACTATAAGCGAACAATTAAAATTTTTGAATAATTTCCATTACAAAACAATCCCCAGTTTTACAAAATTTTCGAATTATGAATTATGTATGAAATTAAAATACGAGTAGTAAAACAAACAAAAATTTCCCACTTTGAATAGACAAAAATTTTTAAAATTTGTTAACACTTACAACTATTACAAAATTTCCATGTATAGTTTTAACAAATTTTAAAATTACAATGAGTATTTATAATTAAATTAGTGGGACTACAGAAATTTTCCCACTTAGGGCGAATAATACTAGGAAAGAATAAGTGAAGTCAGAAAGTAGTAGTGAAAATGGTATATTAGCTGTTTTATTTCCATATTATTAAAAGTTACTGCAGTAATTATTACTTTATTAAAATATAATTGACGTTCAGAATTTTCTCTTCCAAAAAATTATGCGATGATTAACGGAATGCTTTCATCAAAATTAATTTGACTACCTCTATCCCCCTTATTGTAGGTACTTAAATTAGTACGAAATTCCAACCATCACTCTGTCTTACATGCATCAAAATTCCCCACCAAAACACCGATTTCCAACTGCTTAGACATCCAAGTAGAACTTAGGAAAACATTCCACGCTAGTATCAAAGCAGTTCGGATTGCACATATTCCCGCCTTTAACTTGGACACGTTATTTAGTAATCATCGTTTGTTCTGTGAGATTATGCAGCGCATCATCAAGTGACGTCACCAGATTGCTCTCATTAGACTGCATTAAACCCATAGAGTGAGATTATAATGCGCTGGTATTGGTATACAGGGTGTTTCTTGAATAAAACCACAATGCTTCGAGCGCAGTAAAAAATTATTAAGACTAAAATATTTTCTCTCGACCTAGAAAAATTGGAATAAACAAGCAAAAAGTTACATTAAATAAAGAGAATTTGAAAAATATACTTAGGAAAACGGTTTTATAATTCAATGGGGTTCGGCCGAAATTTTGGAGAAGGAAAATCTGTTTGGTTTTTCTTTTTTGTAACGTGATAATTTGATCGAGACTACTACATTGTTAAGTAGTGTGCAAAGAGGACTTTTAAGCAATAGTTATAAAAAACTCTATACCTCTTTTGTGAAGGAAGTTATGTTTGTATTCATTTAAAGTGAAACACGATATACTTTAAAATAATTACAAACCATTTATACAGGGTGTAAGAAGTTTGACTGCCATTAATTGAGCATGAGTAATCATAAATGAAAAAAAGTTGTATATTAAATGGGCGTAAGTTTACAAAATATAGCGAGTATTAATATTGGGGAGTTTCATCACAACGTGACAACAGCGCTTAACCTAATGCTACACTGCAGACTTGTCCTACGGAAAAAATGTAAACAACTATTATTGTGAAACATTTAGTAAATTTCAATTGTTTTCCAGTTTTTAAATAAATAAAATAAAATGTAGGGATTTTGTTGTATGAAGATAGTATTGTGCTTAAATTTTAGCTAGAATTTTAGTAATTATGAATCTCTTAAAGCAGGAACTTCTCTTTTAATCAAGTTATGAATTTGAAAAATATGTAATTAAAGTACCCAAAGATATTAAAAATAATTTAAGTACTTACCAAATTGCAATTTTTAAACGCACAAGCACAAAACAAACTAAAACGTATGCTCAAAATGTCCATCACCATTTTCGATGCACGCACGACACCTTCGAATCCAATTTTCGCACATTCGCTGAAAAAACACCTCAAGAAAATGAAATAGTGGTACTCAAAAAACACTCAGACACGGTCCAATTCCAGATACTAACTGAATTGCGTAATGCTGGACAGCTCAGTACCTCGCGTTTTCCGTCGCGCCGTTGTCACATTGCTCGATATAAATTATTTAGAATTAAGCATAAAGAAGTTCAAAAAAGTGATAAACATTGTATTTTATGGTATTTCATGCACGCAGTTATGGTGAATATTCCTTAATTAATCGAACTTTTGTACATCAAGTTCGATATTTTGATGATTTTTTTTCTCGGAAATGCTTGAGTTTAGGACCAATATCATATAAGTTTTTTTTTATTTTAATGTATTCTATTGTCTGTTAAAATTAAGGCTGTCAAACTAACACCCTGTATTATCTCTGTTACTTTCGCATCGTCTTGTAGCAATTTCGACTCGAACTATATGAAAAATATGATTTGATACATTTCGTAAGCCACTTGAAAGCATGACAACGAACAGTAGCGTTGTTATAAAGCAGCGGTATCGCTTGCAGCGGATTCAGATCCTACCGACGAGTATAGGGCTTGTAGCAGCTCCCCCTGCCACCACGCCAGTACATGTGTCGACCTCCCAGCCGCCACATTCACATGCGTTTGCAGCTCAAACTTTACAGGCCCGCTCTGCGAGACCGAAATCTTTCGGAAACAGTACGAGGTCCCCTCCTTCCACGGGCGATCATACGCCAGGCTGAAACCCCTGAAAGCATATCATAAACTAAGCATCGAAGTTGAGTTCAAGTCCCACTCCGATGAGGGAATATTGCTGTACAATCAACAGAAAGTTGACGGTCTGGGAGATTTTGTTTCGCTTGCCATAGTTAATGGTTTTGTCGAGTTTAAATATAATTTGGGGAACGGCGCCGTTCTTATACGGTCGCTGGATAAAATCCAACTCGGGAAGTTTCACAGAGTTGTCTTGAAGCGGTATCATAGAGACGGGATCCTCAAATTGGACGACGCGGAGGATGTGGCTGGCCAGGCTATGGGCTCCCTTAAAGCCCTAGATCTGCTCGAGGACACTTTTGTGGGATACGTTCCTACCAACCATACACGGTACGTATACGACCCACGAACTACTTAGCGGCTTTTCACTTGTACCGACAAACCGTCGCACGGTGTGATATTCTAACAATCTGGCGATACTCTATTTCCCTTCCGCATATGCAGGCCTTTTTTATTATGTACAGGGTGTAGCATTGAATGGAGATCACGTTTATACGGATGCTCTCTTTGACTTTTAGTAATTTTCATACCCCGCAGCTGGACGAGCTAGTGTGACCCCAAACGGCGCGCGTTAGTCGCAACACATACACACTTGGAATCTGCGATATGCATTGTTGTCAAATCTCATAATTTAAGGAAACGTTATTTAAAAGCAAATTTTATTAAAATTGAAATAAGTAAATATGTTTACTCACCTGATTTTTTATTAAATTTTATTTATTTATTTTTATTTATATTAAACCCTCTTCCAAGGCGTTTAATATATTCTGTTTCTCACTGCGTTCCTTGCATCAAACAATCGAACTACTGCCTATCGTGGTGACTGAAGTGATGGGGTTATTGGATTATAGGGTTATGGGGTTAGGAGGTTGGGGGATTATAGGGTTAAATATATTCTGTTTATAGAGCTCTAATATATCCCGCGATGAGAGATCGAGTCAAACTACTGAGTAGCGTGGTTATTGGGGTTATCGGTTATGGGGTTATGGGATTAAGGGGTTTGATGTTGAATGTATAGGGTTATTGTGGGTGTACAGCTCCCTTCACAGGATCGTTGTGTGTTGACAGCTTGATTTATGAAATTATACGGGGTTATTGGTAAAACCTGATGTGGTGGGGTTAAATGGGTCACGGATTCGAATTCAGCGACCCCGAAAACGTGTAGTAGACATAGTCTGACCTCCAGATCCGAAGAAACATTTTTTTGTGTTGCTCTGTAATCTTTTAAATGTTGAACTAATCTTACAATTTTTTTTTATTTGGTATTTATCGGTCGGTATTAATAAATCATACAATACAATACAATGATTTTTTAATGTTCGGCGGGTCATCCACATTGATGTAAAAAAATATGATGACTTAGAATAACACGTCGCTAAGCCATACAGGAGCAATCTGTTTTACTAAAATTATTTTCCATTGCCCCTCTCTAACAGTTATTTTAAAAATGTAACAATTGACAAGTAAAAACTAGTTACAACTTGACTATTTATTTGATTGAATGAAAGAATTTCATATTCGTATTCAGGGGAACGCTTGCTATTGCCCTTAAAAAACTGACTCCACTTAAAGTTACACCCTGTATAATTAAGTTTTGACCGCCGAAATGTGGACTATGCTAGTTTGGCGTCTGTGGTGTTCCGGTACTTGATCAGTTCTTCATATAAATTTTTTCATACGGACCTTCGTTAACAAGTTACGGGCCCTCAAAGGTGATAATTAAAAAGTTTTATTTACCATTAACTTTAGCATGATGCAAATTTGGTGACCGATAACACATGCGTACAGCTTGTTTTTGATGTTGTAAGTGAAACTTCATTATGCCCAGAACCCCAGGGACGGACTATGCCCAAGGGTTAACAGCCCAGAATTTTTGCATAGATGACGATCGTAATCTGCCTGTATCAAAAATCAGTTCCCTGATGAATTTGCCAACGATAATACCCCCTTGGTTCAACTCGGTAAAATTAACAGTTTAGGAAATATTTGTGATTTTGTGTTTGTGTGTGTTTTGTGTGCACATCGAGCGGCGCCTCCACCATTTTTTGTTTTTAATTTTTAATTGCACTTAATTACTATGTTGGAAAAATACATATTTTTAAAATAAATTCCGAGAAAATCTTACTGTCTGCTAATGCCATTTTTGTTGTTAATTTTTAATTGGACATCATTACTATGTTAGAACCGTACATATTTTAAAAATTAGATTCTTACTGTCTGCTAATGTAATTTTTATTAACAAAATTTGATAAACACACTTTACACATAACACAAAATAGAAAAACAAAACAAGAATAAGTTATAGTTAAAAAATATATTAGTCAATTTTCATCCAAAAATACTTTACAACTTCTTGTTTTGAAGGAAATGTTATCTACTATTTTTTCTATGAAGCAATGCCTATACCTGTCTTTACTCACAAAAAAAAACTTGAGGCAAAAAAGTAAAAAAAATTAAAAAATCTATTTTTTTGCTTCTTTTTCAAATTGTTTATTAACGATTTTTTACATAAAATTTTCCATTTAAATTTTTTATTTAAGCCATTTCGATGGGAAATTCAATTCTCTAAATAATTTTTCCTACGAACTATAGTGAAATTTTGCTTCGTTTTAGAGCTATAATTAAAAAACTGAAAGGGGTGCATTTTCACCCTATTTCCAATTTCCACCCTCCTTTTAACCCTGTTTTTTTGGATAATCAATAGCCTAAGACTTAATATCATGTTCCTAGACTTAATTTTGGTTTCGACTTGATATATTTTGACTCAATGAATAACAAAAAAAATTATTTGTTGTAAACTGTTTTGTGCTTATGTGCTTCCTCGAACATTTATTCTACAGTACTTACTTTTTATTGTTGATATTAGATGTTACTTTTTAACTCAGACTACGCTTTTCTGTTTTATTTATCCTGTAATTGGAACTTTGTCCCATTGGATACTGTATTTCTAAATAAATAAATATTTTGAATTCTGAATTTTAATCATTATTCGCCGTTTAATAGTATGCTTTATATTTCGAGCTGCTAATAAAAAAAAGGTGAGAGCACCGTGCATATACCCACCAAGCATTAGCCACCCATGTAAAATTGTTATTTATTGACCGATTTGTTTCAACTTTTTTTTGTTTGAGAGATTCCAGAAAAAGGAGTAGAATGTATAATTTCGGTATTTTCGTGGTCTAAGCCATAGCCAACTGAGACGCGTTTTATAGGAGGAAAAAACGAGAAGTAATATTAGCGATTTTTTTTCGACAAAAACTCCAACGGATTCTTATTCAGGACTATCTAAAACCCTACTGTACCAATTTTTGTTGTGATAGAATACAGGGTGTTGCAGAAAATTAAACTTTAATTTTTTAAATCAACTGAAGATTTATTTACGAAACACATGCATTATTTGAATATTATGTATCAGTATTATTCTTAGATCACGAAAATACCGAAATTATACATTCTACTCCTTTTTCTGAGATCTATCAAATAAAAAAAGTTTAAACAAATCGGTCAACAAATAACAATTTTACACGGGTGGCTAATGCTTAATGGGACACACTGTATGTAAAATCTGCTGGTGTATCGATTTTTCCGTGCATTCTAGAGAAGACTATGTACAAGACTTTTTATCTTTTCATGAAAAAAAAAACTTCGGGCTGAGGTGAATCCTAAAACAGTAAACAGTGTTTGCGCGTAATTTGTAACAGCAGTGGCTGTTGCTGTCACGGCATTGTGCATTTCAAAAAATCATCAAACGGGGAATATCCCATAAGCGTATTCATTATAATTGGAAAATTGAATTTCCAGGGTATACGAGAACATCGGCACTGCGCGAGGCTTCCAGGGCTGCATAAAAAAGTTGAAGATTGGCAGACAGGAAATTGAACTACACATGAACCAACACGACTGGGTTTTGAAAACTAAAGGCATCCACGACTGTGGTGAACACGCCTGTACGCATTCCCCCTGTCTGAATAATGGGAAATGCCTGGCGAACGATGACTTATACCGTTGCGAGTGCCAGCCCCGCTACAGCGGCGATTTTTGTGAAAAACCGGAGGACCCCTGCCTGTCCGTTCCCTGTCAATACGGCTCCAAATGTAAGGCGCTGGATTTTGATTCCTTTATTTGCGAATGTCCGCCAGGACGTTCGGGTCAGCATTGTGAGCTAGGTAGGTTTTGGAAACTTTTAATGACGCGCTTTACCTTCCCCGATCGACGCAACCCTTCAAAATCTTACGAGGAAAAATATGTTGAAAGTATATACAATGAAGAAGAACAAAAATTGATAAATACCATACGCAAAAGTCTTTCTACAATCTTTCTTCTATTATTCACAGCTAGAGGAGAATGCAATTTGGGATGTTATTTTATCTTATCAAAGACAAAAGCAAACGACAAGCCCATCATAAATTTTCAAGCATGAATTACTTATAAATCAATACTACCACATATAACAATAACTTTATAAACTATGCCGTCAATTCTTGTTGGTACAGGTAAGCTAAGCCTGTCCACCAAGGGGGGTGGTTTTCGGCAAAACATTTTTGTACGGCATTTGTAAAGTATATAGGTTACACAAAAAAAAATGAACCTCGACCTAATGCCGTACAAAAATAGCAATACCGGAAGCCAGGAAAATTTTTGATTTTCCGAAAATTCTCATGTAAAAATGTGTTTTCGAAAAAAGTTTTGTGACAAAAACTAATGCTGTTGATAATTGAAAATTAAAACTCTGACATTTATTTCTGATACGCTCTGTATATGTCTATGTAAAATCCTTAGGACAAATTGCCAAAGTATGAAGGTGCCCAAAATCTTTATAAAAAAAATCCAAACGTGCAATATTTTTCTTAAAATTCAGGATTATTATTATCGGTCAGGTTTTGTCTGCGATCTCTCTAAACTTAAGAAAATTATTCTTTTTATTAACGTGAATTAGATACGCCGCCATGGAAAATTATTTTATAAAGCATTAGGTACTTGCGTATATTGTATATTAAAAAAAAAAATACGGGAATCGCGTATATTTGCCGCTCGATTTTAATTCCCTTATTTGCGAATGTCCCTTTGGTCGTTCGGGTCAGCACTGTGAGCTAGGTAGGTTTAGGAACTTTTAATGAGGCATTTTACCTTCCCTGATCGATAAAATCCTTCAAGATCCCAACTTCGTTTGGTTTGTTAAATCATTTTACATCTTACAATTCCAAATAAATAATTCAGCCCGAACTCCTAATTAACTACACAAAGTTACAGGGCTTTTTCCGACCTGACTTAATGAGTACGGACGTTTCGAGAAGCCGCTTTTATTTTAAACACTAAACAACGTTTAAGCCTTTCATTAAAAAAATATAACGACCGAATGTCGGATTAATTCGATAAAATGTCTCACGAAAAATGCTTCTCCCTTTCGAGTGTTTTATTAAAAAAAAAACAGGCTTTTTAAATATCTGAATCTTAGATGAACAAAAAAAATAATTTTCTAGAAATCTACAGCTTTGTGTGCACTTGAACATTGACACCCTGTATACGCTAGGAATAATTTATAATAAGCGTATTTATAAAATAACGTTTGGATTAAAAATGTACTTTAGAAAGACCAAATTCTTGAATTTATTGAAGCGGAATCTGCCCTCGGTAATATTTCAGAGCGGGCCAATTTTCCACATGTCACAATTGACAGGATATTACAAAGGATCAGCCTGAGTTCCTTTCAGTCCATTAAAACAAGTTTTCAACAGAAAATATTACTTTTTCAGTATAAGTCACAGATATGTATTTATAGGGGAATATAAATGGAAGTGTCTCATCATCCGTATTTTTGATTCTGTATCAATAAGTTATGTTTAATACGATTAGTTCACTGAAACCGTATATAAACTCAGAATTCGAGATCAGTTCATATTTTGACTCTAACATCAAGAAACTGCTCTAGAAAGCGGTTTTCGAAATTTCAAACCGACTTGAGATTGTGATTGCAAAAATATTGGAAATCATGACTTCATAGCGCTATAACCCCATAACCCCGTAACCCCATAACCGTGTAACCCCATAACCTCTAACCGGTTATTTGCACGATTTTAGTTACATATTACCGACAAAAGCACAGGGGGTACTATTACAGTACTTCAATGTAGATACAAGGACAAAAACCCCGGGTGACTTGGTAACATAAATCTGTATGCTCCAAATCATGGGTCTATAGGAACTTGAATGCCCCATATTAAAGGATTACAAGGCTGTACTCATTTCCTCATAGTTTTATGGTTATACGTCCTCGCAAACCCAGTGTTATGGGGTTATAGGGTTATGGGGTTATGATGTTATAGGATTATGGGGTTATGGAAGCCTACCAACTCACGGCCATGTAGTTTCCAACTCCTGATATATGAGATCCTGTAACACCGTAACCCGATAACCCTGTAACCCCATAACCTCTAACCGGTTATTTGCACGAATTTACAGACATTACAGACAAAAGTACAGGGAGTACTGTTACATTACGTCAATGTAGATGCAAAGACAAAAAACTCGGGTGTCTTGGTAACACAAATCTGTTTGCCCCAAATCTATAGGAGCTTGCATGCTCCATATTAAAGAATTACAAGACTGTAGACCCATTTCGTCATAGTTTCTTCGTTATACTTCCTCGCAAACCCAGTGTTAGGGGGCTATAGGGTTATGGGGTTATTAAGCCTGCCAACTCACGGTCATGTAGTTTCCAACACAGTTTTCTAGTTTCTGATCCCTGTCGTAATATCCATGGTTCCCACAGGGTTTCATTGATCGCACATCCCGGATTATGGGGTTATGGGGTTACGGGGTTATGCAGTTACGGGTTTATGGGGTTATGGTACAATGAGATCATGATTTCGAATGTTTTTCGAACTCAAATCTCGAAAACCGCTCTCTGGAGGAGTGTCTTGATGTTAGAGTCTATAGACGAACTGATCCGCTAATTCTGCTTTAAATTCGGATTCCATGAGTCATTTTTTGTGGCGCCGTGTAATTACTTCATTTCATGTCAGTTAGACGACTTAGATACCCTTATGATTCCCATAATTCAACCAGAAAGTGACTGATAGATGATAATTAACTAAATTCCATTGAATTCAAACGGGTCATCTGGGAGGTCATAAAATTTTACTGCATCTTCCTGTCCCGTTGACTTATGGATGTACTTTAGAGTTATCCTTCTAACCTTAGAATTTTGGATGTTTCCTAAAATCTCAACACTCCTTAAGAAATACCAAGCAAACAATAGTAATTCCAATGTTCTAATACAAGCAGAATTTCGTAATTTACAATAATAGAACGAAAAAATATAGTAAATTGTGAGATTTTTATTAATTATCACTATCATTATTTTTGCATTATATCTTGAACACACAATCGTGAAACGCGTTGTATGCATTTCCTGATAATTATGTACCATACCATAATTGAAGTCTACAAACACTTAGCCCTGTTAAATGTTTGTTTCAAATAGTTCATACAATATTACATTTGCGATTCCACATACCGCCAAATCCTACCTAGGAAATCTAGTCCAAGTTTGTTGAAACTAGGAATATTGCAATGTTACATCTGAATATTCTCCTAATTACTATCTACATAAACCTTTGAGAGCTTAAAGATCGGTCAGTAGTGAGGAATTATGCTAATACGAGTATATAATCATCAAATACCTAGTATATAAACGTCAAATACCGAGCACATATCAAAGGAACAAAATCCAACTATATATCTACGAGTATTTGCCTGTTTCCTTTGTCTTGATTGATAGAAAATTATATTTTCGGCAAATCTTAGAAAGCAACGGTCTAACTGGTATAAATTTAACATCTAAAACTCATGTTATCGTGAGATACCACATAGAATAGTAATTGAAATAGATTAGAACATTGCTGTGAGTACAATATTATGTTTACGCAGTCTGTACAATTTCGCAAAATAATTTTACACACTAGTGCGAAAAATAATGGCAGTACTAACAACTATGTGTTAGATGTTACCACACCACCACAACCATTTTGAACCATCTATGGTAAATAATCATTTATCTCTCATTTCATTCCGTCACTAGTGCGTAAAATGAAACACTTTACGCACTAGTGTATAAAATAGATTAAATATTGTATGCTACTTATGCGTAAATATTTCTTCGCTGGTGAATATAGTGTAACTTTACTTATTTGTCATATAAATAACTATCGGCATCATATTGAAAGTATCATGGTTATAATACAATCACTTTTTTATTCTTTTTAATTCTGTGAAGCCGCACTCGTATGCTTATAACTTTAAATGTTACCCTTTCAGAATACAAAGATGCCCGCATGGCAACGCCGGAGTTCAACGGGACCAGCTTTATACGATTTCCACGATTGGAAGGCATTAAGAAGAAATTTTCAATTGAAATTTCCTTCATGCCGAAAGCGTCTAATGGCTTAATATTGTACAACGGGCAAATGAAAAATGGTCGGGGTGATTTCATTTCCTTGAATCTTGTCGGTGGACACCTTCAATTCCGCTTCAACTTGGGCAGCGGGATTGCCAACTTAACGTAAGATTTTTCTAAGCCTCCTATACGTTACTACCCGTTTTACCGACTGACTATCAATAAAATCTATCCTACTCTTTCAGATGTAATAAAATGATTGTAGTTTTATAATTAGCGATTGTCAAGCACAGGTGTACCGTAGCACGCCAGTAAATCATTGTATACTAGTGTGCCATAGTACACTAGTGTGTCGTGGTACACTAATGTGTCGTGTTACATTAGTATGTCATGGTACACCAGTGAATTATTGTACATCAATGTGTCGCTATGCGCTATTGCGTCATGTTACACTAGTGTCTCGTGAAACACTAGTGTATCGTGGAACACTAGTGTGTCATGAAACACAAGTATGTCGTGGTATGCTAGTGTGTCATATTATCTTAGTATGTAATGGTACACCTGCGAATTATTGTACACCAATGTGTCGCTATACGTAGTATGTCGTAGTACACTAGTGTATCGTGGAACACTAGTGTATCGTGGAACATTAGTGTATCGTGGAACACTAGTGTATCGTGGAACACTAGTGTATCGTGGAACACTAGTGTGTCGTGGAACAGCATATCGTAGAACACTAGTGTATGGTGGAACACCAGTGTATAATGGTACACTAGTGTGTCGTGGTACACTACTGTGTCGTGGTACACTAGTGTGTTGTGAAACACCAGTATGTCGTGTTACATTAGTATGTCGTGGTGCACCAATATAATATAGTACACCAATGTGTCGCTATACGCTAGTGAGTCGTGGTACTGCAATTTTTAATATGCTGTAAAAATGCACTGTTTAGACAGCTACAAAAAATTGAACTAGTTACTGAAGTTGCAGATCTACGTTAAAAATAAACAAATCTTACATATTCCTCTTGCTTCAACCTTTTGATAAAATTTTGGGATGTAAAAGTAAGTTCGTGTTAATATCAGTACCTAGTTTATTAGGTGATGGAAATTCAAGAGTAGTTCGTGCCATATCTTGCCGGTATGTGACATATTAACACATTTTAGTTTTCAGCTCAAAGCTCCATCCCATATAGAAACTTTAACAGTTAAAAGTTGTTCTTTTAGACGCTTTATAGTTGAGAGCTTTTGCTCTGATTTACTAGTCTTCCTCGCTTAAATCGAGTTTACACTGAAAATCATACTCATGTACCGCAGTGGTACACCCCTACAAATACGCCAGATATAACGGTTTATAGAGAGATTCCTTTCATACCCCGGACACGGTGAAAGCGGCACGTTTTTCGCGGTCCCTCATGCGTACACCGCTACTGTTGAAACTTAGGCGCGTTATCTGCGTTATTTTTACTGGAAAACCACGTATTTCCACAAGCTAGTCCTTAAAAGGTGTTCGTTAATTAATACGGCAGCTCTTTCACATGGAAAATCTGAAGGACTTTGAAAGTTTTATACGGGGAAATATGGAATTGGGAAAAAATCTGTGACTTTTGATAATGATGTTTATTGTAATGATAATGCGGATAACGACAACTATATGATAACGATGTAAAAGGAACTGTTTAGCTGTTATAGTTTTTTAAAGCCTTCCAAAATTGTTTTCCGTGGTACACCAATATGTCCTTGTACACTAGTTTGTCATGGCACTAGTGTACAGATACACTAGTCGTTTTAGGTGCAGTAGTGCCTCGTGGAACACTAGTGTATCATGTAACATTAGTGCATCTTTGCACACTGGTGTCTCGTTGTACACATATTATTCGCTTTTGCAAGAGAAAAAGTCGATTTAAAGAGACCCAGCTACACTAAGTAAAATATTGTACTTAAACGTAGATAAATAATACAGTTCAGTATCTGGGCACTTTTTTGTTGTATGTTAACATAATAACCACTATCAACTCTTCTTAAAATATTGTTAAATCAATGTACAAGCATCAAACAAAAGGGTTGAATCAAGAAAAGTTCAAACAATATTCCTGTGTGTGGTGCACTAATGGCTCGTGGTACATTAGTGTCTCGTGGTACACTAGTGTGTCACTGTACACTAGTGTATCGCGATACACTGAGTGGCATGGTGCACTAGTGTGTCGTGGTCGGCTATTTGATTTTGCAAAAAAAGGTTGATTTAAGGAAACCATAGTCCATTAGTGAATTCTGGTACACTAGTGTGTTGTTGAACACTAGTGTATCGCGATACACTAATGAGTCATGGTGCACTAGTGTGTAGTAGTATTCATACGAAGCCTGATCCTCTTTTACAACATTTTTTTGATGCTCAAGATACATCATATAAGAAAGTATTATTTCAAAATTTTAACAAAATTTAAGTTCAAATACAGAAATGCCTTAATAAAATCGAAGAATAATTAAATTTTACATCTGCATCTGTCTAATTTAACAAGCGGATTAATTTTAAAAAATCCTTGATCCAAACGGACGTAACTACTAGTTTTCTACTTGAAATGTATGAAGTCAACTATGGGTATTCTTTTTGAAGGTACCGGTAGATTTTAAACCTTTACATTTTATTGAAATTTTACGAATATTCTTCTCTACTAAATGAATGCCGGTTATTAACAGAAATTGCACACTGACAACTTAATAATTAAGCCAATAATTGCCCAAGAGAAAGTGTATCTGAAACCTGAGTTTGCTGATTTGAACTCGACGACTATTTGTTTTAGGAGCAGAGAGGCCGTGACCTTGGACAAATGGCATTGGGCTCGTATATCTCGAGAAGGGCGGGGAGGCGTTCTGCAATTGGATAACTCCAGCATAGTTCGGGGGTTTTCTGGTATTCCGCTAACAGAGTTAAATCTAGAAACACCCTTCTTCCTTGGATCTTTATCGTAAGTTACATATAACGCACTTAATTGGTTTTAGGCGTTACCCAGCTCTAGCTTGGAGGTCAATCTTTGAACGTACATGCTTAATCTAAGGAATAAAAAAACTGGAACACAAGAAAAGACCCTGCCCTGTTAAAATAGACATATACGTATTTTACTAAACTTTTGTGTATATTAAACTATTATTTAAAGCCATTTTGTTAGAAGAAACGGGGTTTCAATTTATATTCTTCGGAATATAAAATATTTTACTTAGCTTTTGAAACCACTCAGCCTACGTAAAAATACCCCCTTTGTAATTCCAAATATTAAATTTTCGGCACAAGCCGGAGCAGATTTTGTCCTTTCAATTGATTTTTTACCGTCCAGGATTAAAATTTCACTGGCTCGTATTTAGCCGTTTGATCTTTGTAAAAGCACCCATTTGATATCTAATTTGTAAATTGTAGCAATTGGAAAGAAATTCATCGACTGTCCGGGTCATCCGAGGGATTTAGAGGAGCTATACAAAGGATTATTGTTAATGGTAATCCGTTGCCAATATCAGCCGTATTGCCCTATTGTAGCACTTCTACATCACATAACAAATCTGGATGCAGTTTTAATATAGGATATTATGACGGATTGCCCTGTTCCGCAAATAAAAATCCGTGTCTGAATAATGGGCTTTGCGTTCCCGAACTTGAAGATTTTACTTGCCAGTGTCCTTCCAGTTATAAGGGGAAATACTGCGAAATAGGTAAGGCTCAAAAATAAACCTAAATTCACATAGATTTCTGAACATGAGTACAATAAAAAGAACCTTTAATTTATTTTAAAATCGCCTATGTTTCGAATTTTATAATATAATACGTTACTGCACTGTCGAATTTAAAATTTTAGTAAACGAAGACAGTTTGGCCATCAAATTCAATGGAAACACATATCTGCAATACAGAAACAGAGGCTACAGAAGGTAATTTAGCTTTAATCCAAGTATTAACATTAAAACTAACACTACTAATATTTCACGCTTACTAACAGTGACGTTGTATTTGACGACGTCGACGATGTAGATGAAAATTTTAACAGAACTTCTGAAGAAGATGATATTAATGATACTAACAGTAACGAATTCTATGATGAGACTAGTTACGATTTCAATTTGGACTTTGATGAAGTAGAGTAAGTAAGAATGTAAATTTCAGCTCACTTTCGAACAAGCTTCCTCGTTTCTTTGGGAATATTTTAATTAGTCGCTTTCAAGCGTATAGGGTGATTTATTTGAATACTAATGGCAAAAGTAAACTGTCCCCACAGAATATGTTCATAAATGCTAAAAGAAATGCAATTACTTAATTCTCGAGAAGTGGATGTTGCCGTTGTTACTCTTTTGCATCACAATCTTATCACACTTTCGTACTTGCTAGTCGAGTCATTGCCATAAATTAACTAGAAAGCCAATGGGAGACTATTAAAATATTCTGGATTCTAGTAAATAACCCTGTATATTCTCTTAAGGTTAATAATATTTATAAAATGTTTTAAATGCGCTCTAGAAGAAAGCCGGAAAGGGGAAATAGGTATGAAATACACGTACGCACATTTGCATCTGACGGACTTCTACTATGGAGGAGTAAAAACCGAAATTTGGCTGAAGACTACCTTTCTGTAGCCATTGTAGACGGATTCGCGGAACTCAGTTACAATTTAGGACAACAACACTCGTTTTGGGCCATCAGGTATTATTTTTCGTTTACGAGGCTTATTTCCATAATTAATTACTGTTTATATGATAAAATTAAATCTGTCTCTTTTCAAGATCCAAGACGAGAATTGACGATGGACAATGGCATACAATTCAGATAAGAAGAAGGAAAAGGGTGGGTTTTATATCTGTGGATGGAAAGTTTCCCACAAAGGGCATCGCTAGAAGTGGAGCCATATCTCTACGCACCAATTCCAAACTATGGATAGGTATGGACAAAATTATATATATATGTACTTAGATCTATACTACTTTGGAAAAAATACAAGATATTTTAGAAATTAATAACTCTATTGTAAAAACAACAAAATTACTCAGTTGTAAATTGTTTAAGGAAAACTTTCAAAGACTAGGAAACTTTCCTTGTGCAACTTTCTCATCTAGAAAAATTTCTTTCAAATTTAAATGACAAATCAATTAAAAATATCTACATCTCCATTGTTGCGTCATTTAAATGCGAAGGAAAGTTTTCTAGATGAGAAAGTTGCATCCCTTCAACTTTCAAAACTGAGAAACTGTCCAGGAAACATATTCGTGTCGTCAGACTTTCCTAGTAAATACAGATAATTCTTCAAGAAAATTTTTCATGGACTAGGAAACTTTCCAGGTGTAACTTTCTCATATAGAAAACTTTCTTTCAAGTTTAAATTACAAAACAGTGAAAAATATCTACATCTGTACATTTTCCATTGTTTAATCATTTAAATGCTAAGGAAAGTTTTCTGGATGAGAAAATTGCATCCCTTCAACTTTCAAAAACTGAGAAACTGTCCAGGAAATATATTCGTGTCGTGCAGACTTTCCTAGTAAATACAGATAATTCTTGAAGAATTTTCATTGACTAGGAAACTTTCCATGAAGTATTTTCTAGTCTAGAAAACTTTCCTTCCAATTCAAATTACAAAAATTTAGAAAGTATATAGAACTAGATGCAAGTCTTCAGAAATAACTTAAAAATTGGGAGATCTTTCAAGAAAAAGCTAGGAAACTTTCCTTCAAATTTAAATATAATAAAAAATGGAAAATATTAAAAGTACATGTAAATCAACAGGAAAATTTTTCACAGATTAGGAAACTTTCCGTGAAGAACTTTCAAATCAAGGAAACTTGCCTTCAAATTTCTATATAAAAAAATATATAAAAAATACATGTAAACTTAGTTAATCTTTAGATTTCACAGTGTATTTTTGTTATGAAATATTATTATTAACTTAATGTGGTATAAAAAGAATCAGGAAGTTTCTAAAGAGATTTTCATATATATTTGGCAGAAACTTTCAGTGTGGAAAACTTTACCACTAAGTAAAATTAATTCTGTCATAAATTACATACTTTCATTTTCAGTTCTTCGATTATTGAGCAGTTGTATATTATATACCTGTATTTATTGTTTTTCTTTATTTCAGGAGGAGCATCATCATTACCGCCAGGCTTACCAAGCGCTTACTACAGGGGATTTGAGGGATGTGTCAAGAAAATACTAGTGAATGCTAGGCAATTAGATATGTTAGCCAATAACGATATAAGCAAGATAAACTTTTGCCATGATAATGAAATCTAATACGACACGTATATTTGTTGCAAAATACTACGTTTGCAATACTAAAGATTTTAAACTGTGAGACTGATATTGTACTCCTGACTTTTCCATTTTGAAAATTAGCTAGATTATATTTTGTCGTTGTACATAGGTGTACTGTTTAAATAATTGTTTGGAAATTTTTTCGAGAGCTTCAGTAAATAGACCAAAAAATCCAAGTCCTCAGTTGATTCTTTATAAAAAAAAATAGGCAATAGATGATATTTATAAAACAGGGTATCGGTGTTTTGGCTAAATAATATTTATTTATTTATTTCGTCGTTCTCTTACTATTTTCACCTTCATTAAATAATGTGATAAAGATATAGCGACTAGATGTTACGATATATATAAAAATTCTAAAATAAAAAAGCTTAGTAGTAGGATAGACGTTTGTTAGTGAAATATTTACGAATATATATTTAGAAATTCCCTGCAAGAAAGATTAGGACAGTTTATATATGATTTTGGTGTCTAATGAAAAAATTTGTATGTGTGAAACACATTTTTTGGTCTATTTTACAATAAATGTTACATGAGCAGTGCATAAGAAGTATTACATACTATTAATGTTTGTGTCTAGTCTTATTTTTTATTTCAGCAGTACTTAACCTTTTATTTTGTTCGATGTAAGTGCCATAACATTTCTCTCAACAAGGAAGTTTCAAATTTGGCCTAAAACATTTGTAGCTTAATAACCTTACTTTTAGTTCTACTAATATCTTTTATTCGGGAATAAAGCAAGCTACAACTTGATTTACAAACAGATTTGTTCGTACAAAATTAATTATAGCGTCCGCGACGCCACAGTGTTTCTTATGTAGTTTGTTTTACTCTGGTTTCTATGTAAATGTGTAAGATACTCACGTCTCTAAGCCAAAATATTCTATTAAACGTGTATAAAGCTAACTGTAGATATAATAATCAGTATGACGTGATGTTCCTTCCAAATAAATTAAAGAACAATCATATCCAAAAGGCGTATCATTGTGTTGACATATCTTTGCGCATGTCTCTACTAGAGGAATACTAGAGGATGTTAGCATAAGCAAACAATAAATAATTCTAAATTCATCATGTATTCGTTCCCAGTGTTCTCACCACTAATTTCCTGTGACGTAACTGTCTTAAGTCAGTGTTGATATTGTTTAACCTTGAGAATCCATGTACATAGCTTTAATAGGAACTGTTACGTTACTTTACGTTTTAGGGTGGACTTAAAGTTAGCGTAGTTAGTGAAATTAACAACTCATTGTAACTTTAGTTGACTTTTATTTTTATTATAGATTTCTGTAAAATACGCTATAAAATATATTTTTTTCGTACTAACCAAACGACTTATCATTCCCCATACAGAAACATCCATTCATATTCTTCTGCGGCCTCAGCACTTTGTCTACGTTCACCGTATACCAATAGCATAACCACTGCAATTATCTCTGTTACTACCTGCACTAAAGTATTATCGAAATACACGAGGTGGCAGTTAAGGAATAACTAATTCTAACGCGAGCCGTAATTGTATTGTTAAAGCAGAAAACAGACAACAAAAAAGTCAGGAGGAAATAAGTTAATGTATAAAAAAACAGGCTTTTAGTGACATCATTTTATTTTCGTATTCTTCTCAGCAAACCCTTTCATTTGATACCCATATCATGGGGGTGCATAAAAACTAACTGGTCCGCCATCTTTGAAAGTCCGCCATATTGGATTTAGATTGACGTCACTTAGCTGACCATGCATTGTCATCCAAACTAAACGTGTTGGGGATTTGACCCATACTAACAAGGCAAGTTAAATAAACCAAGAAATTCATAAAACGCAAAATGTTGTGTAAACCCCAAACTCACAAAAGGATTGAATATGGCTGCTCTATAAAAGTGTCATCGGCAAAAGTATGATCAATAGACACGTACTATCTGTAATCAGTATGTTCATGTTCATATGCTTGTAAGATTTGAACTAAACATACAAACATACTTGCGAAGTTAAAAAAGTTGTCCGCCGTATTGGGGCGTCGGCCATATTGAATTCAGTGTGACGTCATTTTGTTTTCGTATTCTCAGCAAACGCTTTCATTTGATACCAATATCATGGGGGTGCATAAAAAATAACTGGTCCGCCATCTTTGGGAGTACGCCATATTGGATTTAGAATGACGTCACTTAGCTAGCCATGCATTGTCATCCAAACTAAACATGTATGCAAAATTTCAGCTCAATCGGTTGGGGATAATTTAATAGTTGCAATATTTGACCCATACTAACAAGACAAGTTAAATAAAAGCTTGTAAAAATGACAGAGTGAAGTCAGGCCAACAAGTCTCAAAAAAGGAAACAGAAGAGAAAACGAGATTATACAGAGTGTAACTCTTAGTTTTTTATTGTTAACCAGAATTCTAATCTAAACTTAATTTTTTTAAACCAAGTAAATAATCGAGTTATATTTCGTTCTTTTTTTTAACCGCACTTAAGCTTTCGTCTACGCCGCCACTGGTCACCTCCCGAATTCTGTTGTATATGCGCGTATATCAGTGTTGCCTGTTGTTACCTTTTTAAAGAAACTGCAATGGAAAATGATTTTGTAAAAACTGTTATTGTATCACTTTACGTGATGTGATATGGCAGCATGGCTTTATGCGGGCAAAAAATGAACTGCTAACGTTGATTCGGTGAAGCGATAAAAGCCGACTTTGTCGCTGTTCATTTTATTACATTATTCCAGTTTTCAGTATATATATTTATTTGTACATGTGTTTTCTTATTGCATTGTACCTGGAAACTATATATAATTGATACTAAGCTTTTTTAATAAAAATGTACTTATTTTGTATTTCGTACCTTTTGGTGGCATTAAAAAAACTATCTTAATAATTTTCGTTTTATTAATGCATTATACATACGTAATAACTTCAATATACAAAGAATAATATTAAAAACTTGAAGACAAATAAGGTTTTACATAAAAAAATAACTTTAAAATTGCCACCTGAATAATAGATCTTCGTCACCCTGCAAACAACAGTTAAAATGTCCTGTCAGCTTCTTCCACATTTGAAATCTTCAATAAACCCAATGATTTCAACTCTTCAGAACTTATTCAGTACAATTTTTACGTTAGTTTTGTTTAAATTGTTCTCCTTTGCACAAGTTAACTTCAGATGGTCTATTTCTAAAAAAAAAAATGAACCAATAAACGGTGTGATATCTGTGACGACAGCAAACTGAAATTTAAAAATGTAATATTCACCTCCAGAACAAATTTTGCTTCCATTGTTTTTACTCAAATTGACGGCCGCCTCCTTGATCAGGCTTGGAACCTTTTTAAGGATTTGAGTTCGATATTTAGGAGTTGTGAAAGTATATAATATCGGGTTCAACGCTGAATTGATAGGTAGGATAAAAACCACTAACCACCCATAGAGATCATCTAGAAAATAACACCTATGTATTAGTTTTGCAAATACTGACTATAGAATAGTGATGATCTGCCCCTGTTTCGCTGATACACACCGACACAACTGGACACTGCATTTCCCTCGCCGCGACTCAGACGCAAACTTATTTGTATCGGTCTGTACTTCGTTTTATGCACTAGTGTCTAAAAGTTGGTCATGCAATTATCGATTATTTTATTATTTTTCAATAAAAATTTGAATATATTTTCATTATTAAATAACTGTCAATTTGACAGTTTGGAAAGCCGTGGTGGCGACGTGACACCTGATACAACAGTTGTAAGGACTGTCACCGTGTTAAATTAAATTATAAACAATTTATTTGTGTGTATAAATATTTACCTTACCCACTAGTGCGTATTGTATGCTGTGCGTGAGTACTTTCATTTAATATCTTTAAAATAGAAAATTATTACCTGAAACCGCGACTCCCAGGAAAGCCACAGCCTTTATAGTAACTATAGGCAACCAACAAGTGACATCTGTCAATACAATAAAGAAAAATCTGATGGCAAATTGATAGTCGTTTGCCGGTAAGTTGGTTGCATTTCTTGTTCTCCATATACTGATAAACATGCCGATGTAAACGACGGATATAATAATTAAACTGAAATAAAATATATATTATTTTTGTTTATAATTACAAGGTGTAATTTTATTTTCAGTTACCCTGTAGCATTTATGCCAAAAAATATGACTGCAGAGTATTCCCAGCCCTCTAAATAAGGGTCGTCAATGTGTAGTGGAAAGCATAGTCCGTTGACACCATAGAACCTTGTACTAGATAAATATGCCAGAGCTAATAAAAAAAATTGTTATCATCTATTACAGTGTTATTCGGAGGCTGTACATTTTAGTCCATACGTTTATAGAAACTTTTAGTCTTTGCTTATTAGGATTATCATATGACTGATATCACTGATTTATTTTTACACCCTGTATAGAACCCCAGTTTTGTTTTTAGTATAAACGGGACTGTTATTCACTAGATACCAATGCGTAAAGTACTTCATTTTACGCATTAATGTGTAGAATGAAATAAGATACGTCTACAAACAATTATATTATTTTAAAAGAAACAAGTACCAGTCGGATCAGATTTAGTTCTAAACCTTAATCGAAAATTTTAACTGAATAAATGTCGATTTGATAACCACAACTGTTATCGAGGCATATTAAAATGTAAATGATTCCCTTTTTGCAGTTGTGCGTAATACATTTACTGTACGCACCAGTGCGTAATGTACAGTGTGCGTAAACGTGCAGTAATTTACGAAATATGCGATTGTGCGTAGTATATTTACTTTACGCATAAGTGCGTAATGTACAGTGTGCGTAAACTTACAGTAATTTACGCACTATGCACATAAAATAAACTTACATCAATATTTCGCTCACCTGGAAAAACTGCTAAGATAATTCCTAGACACCAAATAAACAAGAGGGCGATGACAGCTTCTCTCATAGTAAGCGCGCTATATTTCCCGTATGGTATAGCAATTAACAGGAAGCGATCGACAGACATGAACACAAGGAGTAAAACGGACACTTCACATGATAACATCGCTATTATCCCTGTTATGGTGCAACCCCATGAAGATATCCAGTTTTGGGCTTCCAAATTATAAATATTCCTGAACTTCATGTCATGTATACCTATCAGCAAGAGATATATTCCCATTAGAAGGTCGCTCACTGAAATGTACTCATTTTTTACTGATATAAGTGTACGTATGACGCACACACACACCTGCTAAGTTTTTGATTATTAAGCTAAGAACTTTATTTTCATCTCTGAAGAGGTATCTTCCGAAAAGTACCATAATATTTCCTGCGCATGTCGCAAAACATATTATCCAATTTGTGTAACGGAAAATTGGTTTGTATAGAAGCTGAGCGTTGGAGGAAACACCTGAAACAGAAAAAAGGTTAAATTAATTAAATTAGATAGTCCTTGATTAGAAAGACTGTTATAGAGGAGGAGGGTGTATTAATATTATTATTATGTGCACCCCACCAATGACCAGGTTTTTAATCATTAATAGTATTAATCAGAACTGTGAATATGTACGAGATCTGTTCAGAAAATAACGGAATCTTATTATTTTAAACTGTATTATTAATTTTATCCATTAGCGCGTAGTTTAAAAAGTTCTGTTATTTTCTGAACAGACCTCGTACAAGTAATGTAATTCGGAGTTAACTTACCATCTGAAAGAGGCCTGCATCTCTCTACAGAAGTTACAAATAGGCAGTAACTGTATTTTTTAAAGTAGACAGACTCTAAGCTGAACAAATTAATAAACATTAGTGTATGTATGTTTCTGATTTCTATATCTTCAAGATTCCTAGAACACGTTTACAATAATTATCTTCTTATTGCCTACATCCAGAAAATATAATAATACTTTATATATTTCTATACAAATTGTTTAAAGTTATCGAAAGCTTTTACTTACAGATGGGTTAGATTATAGAGGCTCCTAAATAATTCCATGGGCAAATATTCAAACTCATTGTATCCGATATAGCTGAAAACAGCAGTTTTTCATGTACAGCTGTGGATAAAAAAAAGTTTCCGACCTAATACTTTTAAAGAGACTTAAAAAAGGAAACTCTTTTCATAGAAGACCTTAGGTCGGAAACTTTTGATTGTCTGCAGCTGTACAATATACAGGGTGAACCTCAATCATTTTTAACCAAGATTTACTCATAAAAAGTTACAATAGAATGTTTTTTACTGCAGAAAAGTATGTTTTAAATTAAGTTACAAACAATCCGTTTTAGGCACTAGTGCCTAAAGTACTTCATTTTACACACTTGTGTAAAATGAAATGAGGCAATATTAAATGTGTTCCAAACTTGATTTAAAACAAAAAACAAATAAATTTCGCTTCCATTATTGTTTACTCATGTTCGATTGTTTTCTTGTATCGTATTGATTCACTCCGTATATTACAAATACATGGTTCTAAAGACTGAGACTCATTTATGTATTTTTCATACTTACAGGAGATTTAGATTTATTAAATTGCTAAATAGGGAAGAAGGTAGGCTTTTAATATTGTTTCCTTGCAAGTCTCTGAAAAAAAAATGTCATTTATAAATTAGACTATTAGGCACAAGCCACAACGATATTCTGAAAAATTATTGCCTTGAGCCGAGGATATAAAGGGTATCCCAAAATTCAAGTAAGAAGTAATTTTGATAGAAAACACGTAAAACAGGTTTTTAATTCAAAATTGTAAATTTTTTATTGATTCGTAAAGTATACAACTTTATTCGCTTTGCGTGGTCAGTAGGCTTTAGTTCTTGAGTACACTGAACTTTGTAAGCATGAACATGTAAATCATTAATGAAAATACGCTGTAGAGAGCTTCTCGAAATTTCCAATTCTTGATCATGGTGCCGAATTGAAGTACTTGAACTCTCAGCAACACTCTCACGAACTGCCTCGATATTTTGTGTTGAACAATTTATTGAAGAACGGCCAGAGTGTTTAAGATCAGTAATAATTGATCCAGTCTCCCTGAATTTTTCAGTTAGTCTCTTCACAGTTGATGAAGTTGAATCACTGTTCTGACCATATTTTGTAAGAAAATTGCAAATTGTAGCTGCCAAACCGTCATTATTTTTCCAATCCTTATGTTTTCGAGGTCGCTGAGTACAAATCCGAGGTCCGCTTGACCTTGTCATGTCAGTTTAAGGATCATTTCAAGGTCAAACCGAGAAAAAACACCTATGGTGGAGACAACCATGGTTATCAAATGTTTTTGGGTCGCTGAGTCCGAATCCGAGGTCTGTTTAACCTTGTTAGGTCAGGTTCAAGGTCAATATAAGGTCATTCCAAGGTCAAACTGAGAAAAATCCACAACGGTGGAGGCAACCATGGTTATTAAATATTTTTGGGGTCGCTGAGTCCGAATCCGAGGTATGTTTAACCTTATTAGGTCAGGTTCAAGGTCATTATAAGGTAATTCCAAGGTCAAACAGAAAAACCCACTATGGTGGAGGCAATCATGGTTATTATGTTTTTGGGGTCGCTGAGTCCGAATCCGAGGTCTGTTTAGCCTTGCTAGGTCAGGTTCAAGGTCATTATAAGGTCATTCCAAGGTCAAACGGAGAAAAGTCTACTATAGCGGAGGCAACCAAGGTAATTAAATGTTTTTTCGGGTCGCTGTGTCCAAATTAGGGTTCCTTTTGTCTCTACCGGGTCAAGATCAATGTAATTTTGAGGTTAAACTGAGTAACTTCTAAATAGGGTTTAGTGGGAATACTCCAGTTTTTTTTATATAAAACATATAATAACCATGGTTGCCTCCACCATAGGGGATTTTTCTCGGTTTGACATTGAAATGACCTTTAACCTGACCTGACAAGGTCAAACGGACATCGGATTCGGATTCAGCGACCTCGAAAACATAAGGATATAGTGGTCTAGTCACAGAATTTTTTTTTGTGGGGCTGTGTAACCTTGAACTATCACATGTCACGCTGCCTTTTTCTTCGTTGGCAACACTTTATCGCACAAATGGTGCAAAATTCAAATCTTGCGTGAATTTTGGGACACCCAATATTTATTCGTATATATGAGCATACCATATTTCCAATTAAGTAAAAACCTCTGCCATGAGAAAAATATTGATTTGCTCAAACGTGTTTACAAATTAAACTATTTCAATTTAATTTTTTTTTAATTTTTCCTTTGTGTGCGTAAAGTGTGCCAGTGGCGTGTAGAAAATTTATTTAATTTTTTCAATGTATTTTTTTTTTCTTTAATTACACTATGGTTCTTGTATGAATCCATTGTACTTCTCATAATTTTATATAAACGCAAATAAATGTTATATTTTTTCCAGTGTAATCATGGTAAAGGTTCAGTACTGTTTCCAAAACGAGATGTGGGATGCTTGACCTTTTAAATATTTTTCGAAGCATCACTTCTCATGTCATCACTTCTCATGTAAAGGATATTTTGCAATTTAATTTAAAAAAATGTGGGAAATACTCTACTTACAACTCTTTTAAATTGTGAAGTTTACTGAAAGCTTTTTCGTGGATAGACTCGATTTTGTTACTCCTTAAACTCCTAAAAAAGTTTATTTTAATGTTTGTCACACAATGCTATTATACTGAAAATGTGTGGTACATATTTTAATTTATTTTTTTAGATCACAGACACAAAAACACTTACAAGAACTCCATATTTGATAAATTTTCAAAAGTGTCTTCTCTGACTGATATAATTTCATTATGATCGACGAAACTGAGAAAGAAGATGTCAAGTAAATATTTATTTTATTTCGTAAATTTATTATTAATAATAAGAAATACTTACAGTTCCAGCAAATTTGGCATCGCTGGGAAAGTTTCCGATGCGAGCGCTAGTTTGTTGTGTGACAAAGTTCTGTTAATAAAAGAGAAAAAACAAAATATGGCATAACGTACAACTAAAAATTTGAGCAATTTTCCATGTAAAACGTAAAGCAAAGCTACTTACATCCATTGCGTTGATACCAGGTCTTTAAAATCGTCTAAATAAATGTATTCTAACTTATTATAATCTAGAAATAGCCATTGCAACGTGGATAATCCTGAAAATACACCCTGTGCAATGTTCGTTAAGCTATTGTTCATCAAATACCTAAAATTAATATATTTTAACGAGTATTCATTTCATTTCTCCCTAAAATACTTACAGTTTTTTCAAATTAACCTGATAAGTGAATGTACCAGGCGACAAGTACGATATTCTATTGTTTTCTAAACGTCTGAAAAATATTTTAGTTCAGTTTTCAATTTGTTAATCTATTTTATAGGTATTTTTAAAGTTTTTTATCTTATTAGATAAAGCCAAACAATGCTCTTCGATACCAGATATCTACGTATGCAAAAGACAAGACTCCTAACTGCTGATCGTGTCCGAAATTCACCCATGTTTTGAAAAAATTTATTAAATTTTAAAAACGCTCAATGAAAGGCGCAGTTACCTCCACAACAGTACATATCCATAGGCAAATAATTGCGGATGACTTACGACGAAGATCGGAGGACTCAGGACGAAAAAAAATTTTTTCACCCATATTTTGAAAATTTTCGAAAATGCTCCCACGCAAGGCCACAGTTGCCGCCAAAATGGCTTCAGACGTACAAGAGAAACTGACGACGCATGCGACGAAGCCTTATACGAACCGGACTACGCAGGAAGACGCCAAAATTTTTACCCACCTTTCGAAGATTTCCCGCTAAGTCGTCACGATGCCATGACTGCCCCCAATATAACAGTCACCTGCCGTATCAGACGACGATGAAGGCGCCAAAATCTTCACCACGTTTCCCAAAATCAACGAAAATTACGAAGCCCAAAAGTTCCAAAACTCAAACGCCAAAATGACCTCATAGTCACCACTATTCACAATGATTTATAGCACCACAGACTTTTGAAGAAGCTCGCAATCCATGAAGGAATGTTTTTCCAAAACACAAATTTTCCCAATTTGGCTCGGACCTCACTGATGAACGCTCTTCGGATCCCACGTTGATAGCGTTTGAAGGTCAGCTCGGTGAACATGCGGTTCAACAACCAGCGTCGGAGTGTGGCCGATGCTCATTTGTTGTCATTATATACAAATTGAATAGTAAATATCACAATTTTTCAAAAATCACTAACGTGAGTTATATTTTTCAAAAAAAAAATAGAAATCGAGCTCCCTTTGCTCTGAAAGCACATTACCCAGGCTCATCCACCCTACGGGATATAAGCCTGACAAACACAGTTCCTAAAGCTGCCGTACACAAGCTCTTCAAGGAGGCAAATTTAAATCAGTATCCTAAAGCTGACCATACAGATTCTCTAAAAAGGCCTTACACACATAAAGTTTAGTGTCCTAGTCAATGAAATAGAGACACAAGAGTACCATGCTCGACAGTGTCAGTGTCATTAGGGACAAAAATAGAACAAAACTTAGATTTCTGATACAGATAAGATTTGTTTGAATTAGCTTTAAAATAGAGTAAAAGAACTAATAAAAAAATATGTTTTTTAACTTATTTGTATTTTACTTACATAACTATAACCTTGGTGTAATTATGGAATATGTCCACAGGTAAAGAATCCAATGTGGTGTTAGTTAGTACCCTAAAATTAAAAAATGAAAATAGTTCGTCATATTTTAATGACTGCTCCGTAACAGAAATTGATACAGTAGCCTTTGCTTTGCTATTTGTAACGTTTGTACTTTAAAACGCTGTCAAGAACTTACAAGTGAGTTGCTGATAGTAATGTGTCCTGCGGCAACAAATGTAGTGCTAATTCCGGACAACTTAGAAGAAGAGAATATTCACATCTACACACTCGAGGAAAGTTTTCGATGTCTGAAAATTCAAGTTTATATTTTATATTTGTTAACTCTTGCAGATAGCGGCTGTAACAGCGACATAGAGACAAAACAAAGACGAAGTAGGGATAACTTTTTTCCTCAAAGGGGTTCTGGACAGCTCCATAATAATCCTTGACCACAGTTTTTGATCAAGTACTCCAGAACCACTGAATATATAAACTTGAAAGTTGGTGCAGTGTGCAGTAGCTAACTTCACGTAAAATTTCAACAAAAAGGAAAGGTTTAAGGGGTTTCAACTGTCAAAAAAAATGTCTCAACACCTCGCTGTTACATTCTGTATAATTTATGACTTACCACACTCGTTCAATTTTCTGTACTGATAATCGTCATCCAAAGTAAGGTTCAACCTGTCAGACATTTTCGTAATGCCATACTCTTCAGCTGAAATAAATTTAGTAACAAAAGACGTTTGCAGTACAATTTACATTATCGATAAATAACTGCGGATATGAAAGAAATTTGAACAATTGAACTTGTCTTACCACATATCACTGGATCTTCGTCTGCTCCATTAGGACATACTTCGTCACCATTACAGACTTCTTCTCTTGAAATACATTTCCCAAATGACGAGCAGGCGAACAAGTCTGAAGGACATGATTCTGAAAAAAGCTTAGTGCACAGACATTTTGGTATAGTTGGATTGTACAAGCACACACAAAAAACTCATATACTTTTTAACAGACAGTACCCCCCCCCCCTGTATTTTGACGAAAATGATGGAATAATAAGAAATGATCTATTGACTCTATTAACACGTCTGTGTATTTCACTTTCAAAGTATTAACTTTTTAACAAAAAGTCGAGATTTCCACTGATTTTGAGCTATTTTTGAGGTTAGGGAAAAATCCCGAGGTGATGGAGCATTTCTAATGGATTCATCTTCTCCAACGGATTAAAATACAGTCGGTTAAAAAGTATGTGACAACTAAAGACTGTATACTGTTCGTGGATTTTTAAATGTGCAGTAAATTGTGCAACACAGCAAATATTAATCTAAAAACGTTTAGATAAATTGCCTTACACATCAAAGAAATAGGTAATTACTGGAGCACAGCGTTATCTGTAAATGTTTCATACATTGAAGCGTTTTGCATAAATCTATTAAATTATTTATTGATGTAACCTTCGGCTGCAACGCATTGCCATTTGTGTTCAGAGATGGATCGTATAACGAGAAATTTTTCTGACAGATTTCTCGAGTTTTTTAATAATTATGGCGTCAGTGCAGTTTTAGGTGCTGCTTGTTTTGCTGTATCAGGTGAGCTACGACTAAATTAAGTATTACCAACTCAATTATTTTTCGAAAAATACTGTGCGTTGCATCGCCCCCTAAAAATTTGTGTGGGGTAGGATCGGTAAATTAATATATCTATTTTTTTTAGCGTACTATGGGACTTTTATGCTAACGATGATTTTATGGTTCTACGCAGTGTGCGCGTGTGTATTAATCATTTACGGACCTCGATTGTTAATCTACACCATTTTTACACCGGATGAAACCTTAAGGAGAGCAAATTACAACGTTTCTGAAGCCAAGGAACCGCATATTATAATGCTTATATTTTTGTTTTTATATTCCTATCTTTATTACGTTCTTCATGATGATATAGATCCTTTTATGTTCAGAGTTAAGATGTTTATAATAAAATATATCAACATTGGTATTATAGACGTAGGGGCATAGTTTTAGGTATTTATAAATCAATTATGGACTGAACATTATAATATATTCATTAGAATATATTACTTTGAAATGGAAATCATGTATATATTAAGTAGAATATATTACTTTGAAATGGAAACCATTTTTTAATTTAATAGCGTTCAGGTTTAAAACTTCTTGTCATAAAAAAACTTTCTTACGTACTGCTGATTATGATTATACAAAATATTAGCTAATTTTAAATATAAATCTTATTTTATGCACCCTATGACACATATTAAAATCCATTCGTACGTAGGCAACCAACTTTACTCTTTCACTCCCAATATATTCCTTAAAATAACTATTTATGCACGTTTTTCACGTGTTGAAATTTTTCCCCATAAATGAAAAGTAACCTGCTTCACACACAAGAATCGCATACATAATTTTTTCTACTACGGAAAAATATACATTATAAATGAAATTGTGAAAAATAGCGTAATTTAATTCATAACCCCGTAACCCCTTGACCCCATGACCCCGTAACCCCATAACCCGGGATGTTCGAGAGTGTAGAATCATAAAGCTCTGTGAAAACATGGGTCTCATACATCAGGCGCCCGAAGCTACGGACATGACTGTGGGTTTACAGGCTTCCCTGACCCCATAACCCGTAACCTGGGATATGCGAGGATGTATAACCTCGATACTCTGTTGGGACGTCGACCTCATACATTAGGGGTCCGAAATAAGTCACCTGGGTTTTTTAGACCCACTGAATTCGAATCTAGTCAGAATTCCCGAATAATTTCTTGTTTTGACCCCAACACCAAGAAAGTTCTCTTGAAAGCGATTTTCGCAATTTGAAACCGACTTAAAAGGTAAAGGTAATTAGAAAAACAAATATTATAGTATATAACCCCATAACTCTATAACCCCATAACCCCGAAATCTGTTTTTTGAACAATTTCGATCTGAAAAACTCACGACCACTGATTGTACAGTCAAAGAAGTATTATTGCGTTTTTCAATTTTCTCAGAGTTTTGTGATTATACATCCTCGTATACAGAGAGTTATGGGGTCTTTGGGTTATGGAAACCTTCCAACTCACAGTTATGTAGTTTCGGATCCCTGATGTATGAGATTAAGGTTTTCAAAGAGTTTCGTGATTATACATCCTCACATACCCCAGGTTATGGGGTCATAGGCTTAGGGAAGCCTGTCAACCCAATCATGTAGTTTCGGATCCCTGATGAATGAGATACATTTCAACTTCATGGGTTTCTTGCACATTTTGAATTATGGGGTTACGGGGTTATGGAGTTACGGGGTTATGGCGTTACGGGGTTATGATTTAATGGTGCAATGAGATAATAAATTTAAATGCTTTTTCATCTCAAGTCTCCAAAACCGCTTTCTTGATGCTAGTACCAAAACAGAAACTAAAATTTTAACTTTAGATTCGGATTCAAGGGTTTCAAAGTACTGTAAGAAACACTATTTTGGTCCACTGCACAACCCACTTCTTTTTTGTGGCGCTGTTATTTGTCCGACTGTTATTATTTTAAAATTACTTAGTATTATTGTAATGCGTAGTATACGATATGCGTAAAGCTAATATTTTACTAACAATGACCTGGCCATTTGACAATCCAAAAGGAAGAAGCGACTTGATGTGGTAAGTTCTATATAAAGATTTCTTGAGACAGGGGAGATTATTTATAACTCGATATTAAATAGAAACGTTCCTTGCAAAATAAAAACGGTTGCCAACCTTACTACAGCGTAATGGCAATTATAGCAAATTTGCGGTGAATTTTTTTGAAGATCAATTTAACTTCGCCCACATTTAAAATACTTCTCTTCACTATTACAAAAACTTAAGAGATTGTGTTGAGAAATAAAACGATTCAGTTGCATATATATGGCAAGAGAAAATATTTACCAGAGCAAAATGTTGCAACTTTGCCATGCCCAGTGAGTTATTTTAAACCATATGGCGTAAAAATTTTGCTTTGTTACTACCGTAATACATCGTTTTTTATTTATTTTTAGTATGTGTTTCTTTTAATTGTTTTTTCTATGATAACTTATGTACTTTTAACTTACTTAAAATGTTACTTTGGTATTCGAAAAGTTTAGACGATTTAGCTGCTAGTGCGTAATGTAAATACTTTACGCACTAGGGCGTAAAGTAAACATCTTACACGCTAGCGCGTGTAGTAGATATTTTATACACTAGTGTATATTTCAAGCAGTCACTGCGTTCAAATTGTCAATCTGACAGTTACTTTAATCTTGAATCAAATAGCAATCATTGCCAAACTATATTCAACACCCTATGCACTTTTAAATAATGCTTATGTCGTAATGTCAAATGATTTGTAACAAGTTTAACTTTGCAGAACTGTATAATTCATCGGACAGATTTAATGAACTATTAAAAGAGCCGATTTTTTTAAATTCCGTCTATCGAGTTTTTCAGAATGCCGTGACTAAATCAATTTACATGATATATTTAAAATTTTCAGCACAGCTCAATGAAATTTTGTGATATCTTGTTAATTCGATGTTTACTTTATGTTACTAGACGTTGCAATGAATTTTTTTATGTCATCTGTTGCGGTCTAGTTATAATTAGAAATGTAAAATTAAAGGGAACCCATCTGCTTTACTCAATGTCTAAAAAATATATAATACAATTATTTCGCATTAACTTTTCCTAAATGTACAGGGTGTCCGTAATTTACTGTGGAATTTTTATTGCAAATTTTTGTTGAAGCAATTTAAATTTTTTTTAGTACAATCGAAATTAACCAAAATTTATATTTTTCATATAACGAGTTTCATTAGCAATTTCGAACTTTTTATGCGCTATGTATAAAGATTAGATAAAAATAAACATTAATATCCTTATAAATCACTACTTTCAGATAAAAGATATTAAGCCAGGACAATAATAATAATTTACAACAGACCATACTCTTTCGGAAAGATCTAGCAACAAATATATGGAAAACAGTTTTTCACGTACGTTTCGATTCACTGGAAAGAAAAATACAAAATAAAATATATTAAAATTAACCCTATACAACATGTTGCATTTCAAACAGACTCACCGTTGATAATAGGATGCATATACATAATTCTTTACTAGGTACCGACAAATATATGTTGTAAGTTAAGTTATAAATAATTTACTTTACAAAATTATTTCATTTCTACACTAGGGTCTTAAATAAAATAAGATTAATGTAATTATTATCTCTCTCCATATATCAGTAGTGATATTTTAATACATTTTTATAAAATTAAATTGCAAACCTATTTTACGCACAAGTATATAGTGTTTCATTTTAAGCTGTAATGTCCAAAATGGTGTTACTAAAATAACTATTGATTTTAAAATAAATAAGTACTATATGAATCAAGCTTAGTTTAAAAGCGTCTAAATTAAAGTTATATAAAATGTACTGTCACAGTGACAACATGAACAATTTATTTTTGGCAATAATGCGTAAAGTACTTTAGGCGCGAGCGAAAATTAGTATTTTAAGTACAGCACCAGAAACAATAAATTATACAGTTAATTATATCAATTTCTTTGTGGTGAATAATATGTTTGTCTAAATAATAACAAAAAAGTGTTAAAAATATGGTTTTTATATAAAAATTTTTATTCAAATCGATCAAAACCTGGAAACTCACC